TTTTTACCTCTCTACCTGTCTCTGTCTCTGTCTCTGTCTCCTCCGTCTCTTTGTCGGTTCATGTCTTTTGCCGAACATGCTTCACGACCACGTCCCCCCACCAACGAACAACGACGCATCAGAGGCCAGCCCTCATGGCATCATCCAAAGCTTCCGTTTTGGTGGTAGCAGCGGCAACGGCGGTCTTCGCCGTCGCGTACGCGATCGCACGACCCCGGAAACTCAAACGGAGGTGTGATGATGCTGTGGATTACAGCCGTTACTGCCGCTTCGTGATGCCTGTTGCTCGCTGTGGTACCGTTGAGTGTTCGTGTCAATATGGCGGATACCCCTCCTCTTGTTGCTGCATCGCTGACCGCCTCCCGAAGCTTGTCGAGGCCTTTCCCAACAGACTGCTGTATGATAGAGTTCGGTGGACACAACGGACTGTGTGGAGTTACACGTCAGTGGGTCTCTTGATCTCGGCCGTCTCGCTGCGGCCGAGGCTTTGGCGGTCCTGGGGCTTGTCGCCGTCGCTTGCCCCGCGGCGGGTTTTTCATTTCGTCCTGGTGCTCGTGCTCCTGGGGTGCTTTCCACCGCAAAATTTCTTCGGGGTGGCACAAGCACGTGTGTGCACGCGGAGTTGCGCATGTGCCACTCAGGGCGCCCCCCCCACTCCTACCCCGAATCTGTAAAAGGAGTACGGCACGATGCCTCTTTTTCGTTGATTGACAGCATAGTCCATGCGACCTCGTCCAGCTTCCCTCCCCCCCCCCCCGCTCGCCTGCCCCTCGGCGCATGCCTCAACATTGGTTTGTTAATGCAAAAAAATTGCGCGTTCCCCTCAGGAACGATGTGACGGGCAGATTGCAAAACTTGGTGTGGCATAAGCCTCTGTCGGGGCTTCCGACGGAGGGGGCGGTCCTTCTCGTGGACGGGGCGTACATGCTTGCCGAGGGGGTGTCGTGGAATCATCTCGAGCAGGAGCTGTGGTGGGTCGGTGAGGAAAACGTTTTTCGTCTCCGCCGGTATGGGCTGGTTGGAAGCTCTGCGTTCGCTCTCGCGCCTGCACACTTCACTGAATAATCCTGCTGTAAGTTTTTTCTCACGCGCAAACTTTGTGTGAGTCATTGTGCTTAGAGTTCGCTCTCACATGCACTCTTCATTAAAGCATGTGAGTGTGGGTACGTGTGTTTGTGCACACCGATTGACGAGGTCCACGACAATATTCACACCTTTTTTATTTCTTACATCCCCCCGAATCGTACAAGATTCATGAACTTGTTTTTGTCTTCCTGGCATCAGTCTCACCTCCTTTCTGCCCTAGGGTGATGCCAACCTGAACTTGTCGAGCGTGGTAGCATGAGAGCGGCCTTGTTGGTGTCGCCTCATGACCTGCTTTATCACCACTCTGGTGCGCGAGTGTGTGCTTGTTTTTGTTCTTTGCATCGACCACGCTAACCGGCTGACCTATGAAGAGACGTCAGTCAGTCTCAGTGCGGTTGAAAACTTGTGTGTGCGTGCTTGTGTTTTTTTTCGAGACTCGTCAATACGAAATCACAGAATGGCGAGTGCGGTCGGATCCCATGTAGTGGTTATCTGTCAACAGTTTTCCTTCCAAGCGTTTCTTTGTGGTCTTCCTACGGCGGGGACACGGTAATTTTCGCCGCACACAAAGCATCGAGTCCCTACTCCCTCGCCAAAGAAGCATACCACCCCACACCCCCCTCATCTCTGTTATGCCCCCCAACCAAGAACGCCCACACATCGTTTACTACAATAACGGGTCGGTCTCTCGCCGTCATACCAATTACATTGTGCATGGTCTTACCTGCTAGATGATACTGCTATCATCGAGCAAACCGCCCCTTTTTGGACGTATGGATTTGTCACTTATTGTCGTTGGCTTACGCTTCCCGCAGATATCAACGGGAAGATGATAATGAGGCTTTTTTGTAAGTCCGATGAGGACGGAGAGGATGGCCTTGGCGCCTCCCTGGCAGCGGAAGGCTGGGATGTACAGACCAGGTGATTCTTTCTGGCGGCGGTCTTTGGCCATCCCGTGCAAGCCCTTGACAATATGTACCTAACTGCCGCAGCACACCATAAACTTCGAAGGACATCATTTGCGCTTCGTCAAGAACACCAGCATTAAAGTGCAGGGTGGTGTATACATTGCGGGCTGGCGGCTTTCCAACAGCGTATATCAATCGTCTTTTCCATCAGCACATCCCTTGCCCGTCCCTCCTTAGTTTGGAAGCGAGAAATCCCTTTGTAACCGCTGTAACTTTGAGTGAGGTCCAAGTGCTGACGTCTATGCTAGAAGCAAGAGACGTGCCCCCTCTCGCACCCGTCGCCAATGGTCAAGTGAGGGAGGCCTGCAAGAAACATGCTCCTCCCCCTCCGTGTGCAAGGAAGTATGCACAAGATGCCGAACACCCTTAGCAGGATGCAGCGCACCCTCCATACGACTCGCCGGATACCTCACGGCGCCTCGCGCTAGGTGATGTGAGAGCCTGGTTCCGTGAGAACCCAGCGCGTGCTCCGTCCCCGGCCTTGTAGGGGTGCGAGGTCAATGGTCTAACGGCTACGGCATGTACGACTATGAGTACACCCCCATGCCCCCTCCCCCCCCCGCCCTCCCTTCCCCTCCGAGTGTGCAGACCCGGCTCGCTCGCGCTCCGAGAAGGGGGGGCCCGTGGACGGAAACCCGGGTATCCTCTGGTGGTGGCGTTCGAAGACGGTTTTTTTTTGTGCGACCCTTCCACCGGGGGGCGTGTCGCTGCCGCCGCGGCTGCCGGAGGGGAGGACGAGTACGAGCAGCTGCCCAACACCCGGCTGAACGACGGCAGGCAAGAAGGGAGGAGGGGAGGGGCAGCTCGAGTCACTTTTGTGAGCGTGTGTGTTTATTGTTGTAGCACCGACCGCGTAGCGACGGGCTGATCAATTGGTCTCAGCGCGGCTTAGAACGGAAGACGCTGCTAAATGGCAATGGATATGGGGGGCCGTGAGGGGGAGTGTATGCCTTTTTTTATCCGTGCATGTCGTTGTTTGATTCTTTGATTGGGTCAGTTTTGTATCTGGTCGACCTTTGAAATTCGCCGAGGTGCCCTGCTTGTTCATGTCGTGTGCTCTTTATCACGTTAGCACCAACCGTGCCTGCTAGCTTGACCAATGAAAGCACGTGAGAGACATTTAGCGGGTGCTGGTACGTGCCTGCTTGTTTTTGGCGCCCGATGCCACGCTGTGGCAAGGTACCAGGCCGTATACGGTGTGGGTGGACGTTGTGCCCCTCCAGCTCTTTCTCTCCTGCGCTCTTCACGCGTTGAACATTGTGTAGCGTTGGTGCTCCGGCAGTTGGCAGTACGTGCTCGATGATCGGCACCACCAGGCACTTGAAGGTTTGCAGGCTGTGGCGTGATGCACGTCCTAGACGCTGTGCCCACCGTTTTCGGCTTTATCTCTTGTTTTCGTGTTCTCTATTTTTTTGTCTCAGGTGCGATCGCCAAGGGCGCTTCTTGTGCGGCGGGATTAACCTCGAGAACATCGACCAGCCGCCGGACTTGTGGAAACCTCGAGCCGGCGTGTTTCGCCTCGAGGAAGGGAAGGGGGTGCGGCGGATCCTCCCCGACGAGGTGACGTGTTGTTGCTGTTGTTGTTTGTCTTGTGTTCACAGAGAGTACCGCCGCTACTTTTGGAATGTATGTGTAGTTTAAGCTACTTTTGGAATGTATCTGTAGTTTAAGCTACTTTTGGAATGTATCTGTAGTTTAAGCTACTTTTGGAATGTAGTTGTAGTTGAGTTCGAGTAGCCAATCTGGTTCGAGACCTGGAAGTGTGACCTTCTCCTGTGAACTTGGAAAGCGTGAAGCTCTCCAGTCTAGCACGATTTCAGAACAGTAAATACAATACTCGGAGTAAAATATAGCACAGACGTGGAAGCCACAAGCCCGGGGAGTAGACCGGCGAACGCGACTGCAAGTTTAGGTTCATGCGCAGGTCCGCAGGTTGGCTGCAACGGTGTGCGATAACCTGTATCTGCGTTCAAGAAGGGGACTTGAATACAATAGCAATGGGTACGAATCGATCTGTCTCATGCGAGCAGGTAGATACAGACGTTGGAAGATCAGAACACGCCGTGAATGCCGGCAACTCACACTATACTTGCTTCCAAGGGTGGAAGAGTGAATGCATTCGCTGTTACGTTAGTGATTCATGTGCATGGTTCATGTATTACCCATGCTCTAAACCCGATGGCATGGTCGATTGTGTTTTTGATGGTTGCTTCCGAAGTACATTGTGGGTTCACGGAAATTGTGCTTGAAGGTTTGAAGAGGGACAGCACTTTCTCGACCTTCCGCGCGATACAAGAATGAATCCTGTCCCGTTGCTGGCACGCTCCAGACCCAGGCGCCCAGAGCAGTTCGGATAAACGGCGCAACACATGCCACACCTTCTCGATGCCACGATCCACGCGGCTCCCCAAAGAAAGTAATCTTGGGTGTCTCTCTTTCATGTCATTTATTCTGGTCTCCAGCAGTCCTTGAACTTTTCTGGGTGTGGGTGTTTGTTTTTGCGATCACGCAGCAGCGGTATTCCTGCAGCAGCCACTATGTCGTGCGTTCTTCTCCGCCCCAACAGCAGTGCTGCTCAGCCGGAACTCGCTTGTTTTTTCGATATCGTCCCTACGCGGCCTCATATTCCTAGTCGTCGCCCCCCCGCCCTTGCCCTCGACCAGGAGTTTCGGTGCTACAACGGCACCTGCTTCTCGCCGGACGGGCGGACCATGTACGCGGCGGAGACTCCCCTACAGAAGATCGCCCGCTACGACTACAACCCCGACACGGGGGACATTACGAACAAGAGGGTGTTCGTGGAGCTCGAGGCAAGCCGGGAATGACGTGAATGACACGAAACACGTTGTTGTGTTGTGGGAGTGAATGAAACAATACGGCACGAATTATTGTGGACGTTCCGGGAGTCGTGAGTCAGATATCGAGGAAGGGAGAAAATGGGCTGGGTGACTCCATCGCTTGTACAATAGAACTGCGGGGTTGGAGTGATCGCTAACAGTGATTTGCACCAATTTCGACTTCGTGATGACTCACTCAGAGAGAGTCTGTGAAAGTGTGTAGACTATGTGGAACATTTTTTTTTTTTTTCACATATTCGAGAGTATGTAGATAATGAAAACATTGATTTATTTTTTCTCCTTTGGACGTGGAAGTTTATCAAGAGCCTTGGATTCTTGTGTGTGGAACACAAGGAAGTATTGTCGAGGTTTGGTTGCGATATGTTGTCATGGGCATTTCTCGAGATATTCGGATTGAACAGTAGACTCGGTGCTTCCATCGCCATTTATGAAATGATGTACATAGCGCCAAGGAGTGGAGTTTGTTTTTCGTTGTACGAAGCGCTTGCTCTCGAGAGCGTTGTCGTTGAGCGATCGACTACAACCGGGTTTCGGGGCGACCGTGTTTGACAAGAGGATTCCCTCCAGAGCGATGACGGAGAAAGAGAGTGACGCGGGCGCCTTTCGCGAAGGAGCGGTATCACACCCCCTTGCTGCCGCACTCCCTTGACCGCAGCCTCGGTGTTTTCGCCCCTTCCCCTGCACATGCGAGGAAAACACAAATGAGCAATAACTCCTGGCCCTCGCTTATCTTTCTTCGCATGCGCCTCGCTCGTTCCTCTACACCCCCCTTGCTTGCTTGTTTTTTTCAGGAGGGATACCCTGACGGCGCAACCGTAGACACGGAAGGTTGCGTATGGGTTGCCATGTTTAGCTGCGGGGAGGTCCGCCGATTCAGCCCCGAGGGGGAGCTTCTTCGGACAATTCCTGTGAGTTGCTTTGTCAAAGGCTCAAAGGTGGCAATTGCTGCTGTTTCTTTATTATTGAACCCTCCAGTCTCTGCTAATCACCTTCTACCATCCATGCCGGTCCAACTAACGCGTCAAATTATGCCGTTCATATTCTACAAATACCGGTTTGCCTCTGCTCAGCGCCTTCTATCATTCATACCGGTCCAGCTGACACTGTATATTGTGCCATCCATGTTTTGCTATTCCGTCTCTGCTCGACACCATCTTTCATCCATACCGGTCCAGCTGGCACTTCATCTCATACCATCCATATTTTACCATCCTGTCTCTGCTCGGCACCTTCTATTATCCATACAGTCCAGCTGACACTTCATTATCATACCATCATTTTTTGCCCTTCTGTGTCTGCTCAACGCCTTCTGTTATCCATACCGGTCCAACTGACGCTGTATATTGTACGATCCTTATTTTACCATCCTGTCTCTGCTCGATAACTTCTGTCATCCATACCGGTCCAGCAAGCACTTTATATTATACCATCCACATTTTACCATCCTGTCTCTGCTCAACACCCTCTATCACCCATGCCGGTCCAGCTGACGCGGACACCTTCCGTGGTCACAGGCCAACAACGCAAAAGAGTACTGTACACGCTACAATGAAAACAACACGAGTGAGACCTCATTCATCGATTTTGCCCACCCGATGTCCAACACGCCAAGGGACAAGGCAGCACGATCACTCAACTGAGGAAGTTGCGAGGCGAACTGTTCTGGAATAAGTTCACCAGAATTCATAAAGAAAAAGGGTTCTGCGCTCTGCAGACTAAGAGGAGATGGCGGTTTCCTATGTTAGATTTTGGAGTCTATTGGATGTTGCGCGAAAGCCAGTAGCAGTGACTTTTACGTAGATACTCAACCGGCCAATCGACGGCTGTTTTTGAAACGAAAGTGTAGCTTGGTCATTACCCCGCCGTTGCCGTATTTCACGCTTCTCTCACTTTCCTTGAAGTCTAGGGGCGCCTCCACCTGTTCCTTTCCTCATTCCAATATATGTTACTCTGTTATTTGATTCTTACAGTAATTTATGTCCGGGCAGCCCCACTTCATAGGTACCAACTGTTCCTCCTTACCTCATCTTGTCGGCTTCCATCCACTTAGTATCGTGTTGTTCAAAGTCCTTGTCATTTTATTCTCTGTGCCACATCCCTTGTCGTTTTATTCTCGCCGTGCAGGTCCCCGGAGCGAAAAACACGACCTGCGTGGCCATTGGGGGGCCCGACCTCGACATCCTCTTCATCACGTCCGCAAGGTGAACGGTCTCTTGGAGAATCTCGCTCCTGTTGGTGTTGCCATTGCCGTTGTTGTCGTCATCGTGTGGTCTGAAGTGATGGTGGTGGGGGGAGTCGGTGCGTCGGCCCGCTTGTCGCTACTTGTTCACCTGCTCTCGCTGCGATTCCGTTCGAACCGACAAGACGTGCGTTCATGAAAGGGCGGCGTTCGTCATCCAGGTCCATCTGATGGTGTCGTAGGACTCTCGCCGTCGCAGCACAATGATGACATTTATTACGTAACACTGTGTTGCTAGGTAGACGTGCTTTTGAAACGGCGACAGTTAGCAAACATGAGAAGAGGGTGGCTCGTTCGATTCGACGCGAGGTGTTTGACGGCGCGGGGATTTCGTTTGTATTTTTTACCCCAAGTATTTTCCCATTGGGGGGCATACTGACTCCCAGTGGTGTTCTCCACCGACGTAGTCTAGATGGCAAACGAGTCATCCCCGCCCCCCCGCCCCCCCCCCCGATGTTTGCCATCGGGGTTGGTTTTCGTCGCTTGGCAACGACGTTGTAAAACAAGCCGCCGCCCCCCAGTGTTTGCCATCGGGGTTGGGTTTTCGTCGCTTGGCAACGACGTTGTAAAACAAGCCGCCCCTCGGTGTTTGCCATCGGGATTGGGTTTTCGTCGATTGGCAACGACGTTGTAAAACAAGCCAATTCACTTCGTGAACTCGGCAACCAGGTTACCGTTTTTGACCTCTGTTTTTTTTTTGGCGGTAACCATAATGGTGGTCGAGTAGATCATGTTGTGCGGAGTGGAGAACCCTCACTCCGCGCAAGGGGGATGATCGCACCACGTTGTGTTCAAATGGTCAAGTATCCTCGAGGCGGTTACACAGTGCTTATAACTGTCTCTGGAAGTGAAAGCACCAGAAAATAAATTAAGTCATACGCAGCTGTCATCTGTACGCAAGGAAGTAAGCACAAGATGCCGAACACCCTTAGCAGGATGCAGCGCACCCTTCATGCGACTCGCCGAATACCTCACGGCGCTTCGCGCTTGGTGATGTGAGAGTCTGGTCCGGTGAGAACCCGGTGTGCTCCGTCCCGGCTTTGTAGGAATGCGAGGTCAATGGTCTAACGACTACGGCATGTACGACTATGAGTACACCCCCCCGCGCGCCCCCCTCCATTCCATTCCCATATTTCATCGGGGTGTCAGCCCCATGTCCTCATGGAGTTTTCCCCATTTCGTTATTGATCGCCGTTGCTCTACGTCCTCATGACATGATACTACTCTCTATTGCTGCCAGCGTGGGGCTCAACGACCAGCAGCGCATGGAGCAGCCCAACGCCGGAGCCGTGTTCGCGATCCGACTGGAAGGGGTCAAGGGGATTCCGGAGCCGCGCTTCCGTGGATGAGAGCCCAAATCTCCTTCTCCCTGCAACTACTTTTGTGTTTCGTGGACTTTGGCTGTTGGTGTTTCGTCGACGGTTGCTGGTCGTTCCAACCGTGCATATATATATTTGTTTTTTTCCTCTTTAAAGTTGCCGTCGCTCCAGTTTCTAACGCCTTTGACACCTTTGGGCCCTTTATGCTAAAGTTTGGGGTGACGCAGACAAGAAGTTTTCTGGGATGGGGGGTTGTTGGTGCGAGAAGAGGTTTCGGCAGTCCTTGGAAGTCTATCGACGACGGCCTGGAGCGACTTTTACTTGGGGAGAAACGTGTGTATTTGTTCATTGGTTCTCGTTTCTTGTTTCGACAGTCTTCCCTGCTGCTACTGCTGCTGTGAAAGATCCCAAGGCAGGAATGACTCGCCCTTGAGTGTTATTTTTCGTGTGAAAGACGACAATAAATGGCTACAAACTTCGGCGGTTGGTTGTTGATGCAAGCAAGGTAAGTCGTGGGCAAATCTCGATGACAAGTCACCAAGAAATAAAGGAGATTGGAATGAATGTCGCACCTCGCGCTGCCGGAGTTGCTTCACGTATTTTGCGTGGTGGACCTTGGTCTGAACGGTTGTCCGAGTCTTGACTAGTTTAGCAATGGCCCTCCACTGCATCCCATACCGCTCCAGTCCATCCAGGAAATCGGAGTTCTGCTTTGTCCAGCGGCCCTTCCCCATGGTCGCGCGTTTGCGCTTGTTGGTGCTTCATGCGATGAAAACAATCATGGATCGGATGTGATGCCCGTCGATATTAGAGTGGCGGGAGGCAGGCAGGACCGGTTCATACGATGATATTTGGTACTGTAGATACCACAATGCATTGGATGTTTTTATTTACTTCGTGGAGCCCAGCATAACGGAGGATCTGACTCTCTCAACCCCCTTGTGGTGACAGCGTGTACTTGTTGGCTATACTGCTGTATTGATTTTCCCCCCGCTGTTCACGTTGCGGGCCGAGACACGAGACATGGCATAAAATTGGACCCGTTTGTGTACATAGATGCCCCGTTGTCGCCCAGAAGGTGGGGGTTTGAAAGCAAACCAACCCCGTGAACGCGCTGCTGAACAGGATCGGAAAAAAGACAGACATCACCGCCAAAGAACCCCCCCCACATCTCTCTCTCGGTGGCGGATTGATGGCTTGTTTTTTTGTTTCTCTGATCTTCTCCAACATACGGTCCCGGAGGTGGCGTGTACAATGCGACGCCCATGCGTGGTGCGCGACCGCTCATGCATGTAAGGAAAGCTGACGAGGGGGTGACGTTATGGCGCTGCTTTCGGTGCGAAAAAGATCCAGATCCGAAACAACATTGTCATGAGAACTTGCACGCGGGGCAGTCTAGACGACGATATATTCCGTTCGCGGAGTGGGGGATTTGTTCTCGCCCAAGTCTGCACGCGCAACAAGCAATACATTTTGCAAGACCTTGCTGCTCTATCATACAGCAAAAACAACAAGCTTGATCTCTTGTCTGTCTCTGCCTCTCCTTCAAAGTTGCCCCGGGGTAGGGAGCATGAAAAGCGGGAAAACAAACGACTACAGGACGGGTGGAGGAGCGCACTGGTAGGAGACAGCCTTGATCAAGCACGTACAGCAGCAATCGGATGCCAAACGAGAACCTGCCTTTCTTTCGAGGGAGAGCGCACGTCCACAGCTTGGTTCCCTGGGCCCACTACGCGATGGCAAGCGTGACTAAGGATAAGATTCGGGTGTGCGAATGGCAGGCGCGGTTGGTGCTCGTTACATGTCGTCTAAGGCTCCTCCATCGTCATCATCACGTCAGGATTCGCGACAAGATACCTGGAGGCATTCCTGCTGCCATTGTTGCTGCCGTTACTGCTGCCATTGTTGTTGCTGCTGAAACTCGCGCCACCGACGGCCGCCTTTGGCGGGCCCCTCTCCTCTTCCGTTATTCTGCTGGCGGACAGAGAAGCCATCCTGCTTATTGCTGACAGCTGCTGGCGCTGTGCTCGTCTGCAAGGAATGGATGTATGATAGGTGCGGCGAGATTTTGGTGAAGAAGCACCAAAGGATCGTGAAACCGCGGCTGTATCTGCGTTGTTGTTGTGATGGCTGGGGCCGGCTCGAGAGAGTTGGGACTTGTCCTCTGGGTCGAGGGGGGGAAGGGAAACCTTTTTCTCCGAGAGTGCTTTGAGGAAATCCCTGCGGCGTGCTGTGTGTGTGCAGAAAATAATCGCCTCGTGGGCATGTGAAGCGATGAAGCATGCACCAGCACAGCAGTGTGGTGCGCGGCCGGAAAAACTCCATACACACCGGGGGGGGGGGGGGGTTCCTTGAATGTGCTCTGTGAGCCCCCCTTTGCAAACCAACACCAGCTGCTCTGTGCTTTGCACCACCACGATCTGTCCTATCCTACCCTCTACCCCGCAGGATCGAGGTGAGCTCGTCACTCAGACCAGCATGCAATATGTGATGGGCCTGGTGCAGTAGTGCGCGCTCGATTGTAACGCATTCCTATGGTGGATGTTTTGTTTCAAGTGTGTGCGGCGTGATGTGTGGGCTTGCGGGGGGGCACTGCTTTAAGAGTAGTTTCCCCAAGAGATGCGTAGCAGAGGGCCACCACTCCGCCTGCCATCGTCACCACGCGTGCACCATCTAATGGCGTATCGGCATGGCTTGGGTGGAGCTTGTGGTTGGCTTGGGGTGTTTCGTGCATCCGTTGCTGTGCTTGCGTTTTTTCTGCGCGCAAATCCTCTTTCGCCGCAGCTGCTGGGCCCCAGACCGTTGTTGACCCCCCCCTGTGGACTTGTTACAACTTGTTGGTGAACGCCTTTGCGTGTTCAGGCTGCACAGCTTGTTTGTCGAAGCCATGTGCAGTTAAATATTCAGTCGTGGTAGCGTATTGTGCAACCCGATCTTTATTCTGGAAGGAGAGCAACGGTGTGTTTGTGGATGGAATTGTGTGTTGCATTACTGCTGTTGTATTCTGATGACATCTGCTCTCCTTGCGGTTCGGGCGTCGAGAGGGCTGGTCTCCGTACCGCTTCCAACGGCAGCTACAAGGTGCTTCATGCTACTAAACAAGGATCGCCGTCGGAACAAGCTGGCGAATGTGCCGGTTTCATGGTTGCGAAGATCAACGTGATTTTTTTGTGTAGTGTGTCGAGAAACGCATATCATCAACAGAGACGTTGTGGGTGCGGGCATCACACCGCACGCGGCCCAACCCTCGTAAGGGGTGGATACCATAAGAAAAGCTTGCTCACCTACTTGCTGTATGTACACTATACCTGGACCAAATTTTCGAAACTCGAATACTCCACGACGAAGAACATGCCAAAGTCAAGAGATATTCTCTCGGAAAGCTCTGGACGAGACGGTTCCAACGCCGCCATTGTAGGCACTTTTGCGTTACGTGCTGCAGAGTAATCGGGCTGTCAAAATCGGTCCAGGGGATACAATATCTTACGCAACCGAAGGTAGTTGCCGGACATAGAGGCACGTCCTTCGCCTCTTGAAACAACACTCCCGGAGCACGATTACAACATGCGCTGACATGCGCCGCCTTATGCCTTCTTCCCGCTTCGCATTTTTTTGCCGTTCAGGCGTGAACAAGTGCAGCACCACCACCGGCAGCAGCACCAGCCCACCGAACCCACTCGCACCCGCGGAGCGGCAGGGGTCAGGCAGGCAGCGACATGTACAACAACGTCGGGATCAGGACCCCTCGCGGCTCGGGCACAAGCGGCCATGTCATGTCCAACAGAAGGTACGCTCTTTGGATGAATATCTAAAGTGTTGGAACTGGACTCGCGTTTTGTATCGAGGCCAACAGCAGCAGTGCTATAATAGCGCCTCCCGAGAAGACGCAGTTGCTACCACATAACGGTAGTCTTCGCTTGCACACTGCAGTAGGCACCCCTCGCGCCCGGGATCTGTGCTGAAGCACGGCTGGAGCAACAAAATTGAGCTTGGATACCGCACGCCCAGAATCTGTGCTGAATCATTACTGGGACAACAAGAAAATCGAGCTCGGAACCCTGCCCCCTCTTGTGCCCTGCCCCTCGTCTCTTATTTTTTTTGCGTTCCCGCACACAACGAACGGCGAAACAAACAGCCACGTGCGCGCGCAGGCGTTTCGCATGGGGATAGACCGCAACACCGGGAAGCTCCAGGCCCGTGACTGGGAGGAGCCACCGCCGCGAAAGGCCAACGAGGAGCTGCTAGACCACCAACGCAAGCGCAAGGTGTGTGTGGGTTGTTTTTGGCGTTCAATAGTTGTCTGTGGTCCACTACCCCAATAGTCGTTGCCTTTGTTCAGTACTCCTCTTGGCCGTTTCCGTTTTTGCTGGTTGTTGTGCGTGCTGGTCGTTGTTTTTGCACTGTCAGAGGAGTTATGTACTGTTGGAGGTGAATGTTCTGCTACCCATAGCACCCGCAGTAGTTCGTCCGTCCGTTGGGTGCTGTTTGGTACCTGCGGCTTGCTTCGTCGTCGACATTTTCCGCGATTTCCGCTCAGTCAAATTTTTTTTGTCGGTTTGGATCTTCGTGCTCGGCTTTGTTTTCTGCGCTCAGAGGAGGTACAGAGGAGGTATTGTCGGAGGGGCGAACGTTCTGCTAACTACAGCAATCGCAGCAGTTCGGCCATCGGGTGTTGTTTGCTACCTGCCGCTTGCTTCGTCGTGGATATTTGCCGCGATTTCCGCTCGGCTGCTGTGTCGGTGTCGCTCTGCGTGTTCGGCTTTGTTTTTGCGCCCAGAGGAGTCATTGTTTTAGAGGCGAACGTCCCGCTAACCACAGCGGTCTCAGCAGAAGTTATTTTTTCGTGGAGTATGTATTTCTACCGCTTGTATCGGCTGTGCCATGAAAGTCGCTCCGGCGGCAGCTTGTTTCGACATCTTGGCAGTCCTCTTGTGCCAACTGTACTCTCTTCAGTCTCCTTTTCGACTACGGCTGCGGGCAGCCCTCCGCCACCGTCTTCCGTAGTGTTTAACTTGTCGGTGCTGATTTTGTTTTGTATTTTTCCGTTGATGGGTCTCTCAGATGAGCTTCTCTGGATTTTTTGTAGATTTGGCCTACCCCGCTGGATGTCGCGCCAGTGGGGCCCCCTCTGCGGTGCTCGCTCCTTGTTTGGGACGCCCTTCGCTACCAGCTACGCTAACATTTAGTTGTTGGAATAATTTTTGTTGGGCCACTTTACCTAACTTTTCTGCGGGAGCTGTTGTGTTTTGTTTTCTCTGTTCGTTGCTGTTGATATGGAGAGGCGTTTTTAACCGAGCCATGAACGCTGCGCGTGTCTGCTGTGCGCGTGTTTTTTTTTTTTTCTCGCCGTCCGGCTAAGGTGGAAGCCAAGATCTTCGAGCTGCAGGAGGCGATGGCCGACCGTGGCTACAGCGACGCCGAGATTGAGGAAAAGGTAAACGCAGGAAAATGGTGTTTCCGTGTTCTGTTTAGGTTTTGCTCGGTCTCGCGTGGTTGGACGAGCGTTGCCACTGCTGCGCGTCGGTGTCCTCCTTTTTGATCCCTTAGCCTTGGTTCCCTCCCTCGTGCCATCACGTGGTGCGGCATACGTATTGTGCATACGTATCCTCGTTGGTTTGGGTTTCTAAGGTGTATGTTCTGCTCCTGTCTGCTTCTAATCGTGCCGTCAGTAGGTTCCAGGTCGCGCCATGTTTCTCGAACCCCGGTGTGTTGGGCGCTATTAGCGTTGCTGCTGCTGCCGTTCCTGTTGTGTTGTTGTCGTTGATGTTGTTGGTGTTGTTGTTGTTAATGTTGTTGCTGTAGTTGCTGTTATTGTTGCTGCTGCTGCTTCTGCTGTTGCTGCTGCTGTGGGGGTTGTTTGTTGTTTTGTTGTCTCCGTCGCTGTTGTCGTGCTTGTAAATGCCGACGTCGCTGTTTCGTTTGGGCGATGCGGTTGTCTTGTGTCTCGCGTGCCCCTCCGAAATCCAGGTCGCAGAGGTCCGCAAAGGGCTGGAAGAGCGGGAAGGGAGCGGCCAAAAGGCGTCCCTGCTCAAGGGCAAGAAGGGCGGCGGCGGCGGCGGCGGCGGAGCGGGTACCATGGACTCCCACATGCGGGACGTGAAGAAGGCGGACGACAACCGCCGCATGAGAGAGGCGTTCGGACTCGGCGATGACTACGCGGCCGGGGAGGCGTTCGACGAGGAAGCCCAGGAGCGGAAGAAGGAAGCGCGCAGGAAGTGAGTCTTGTCCTAAGGTGGTAGTGAAATGTTTGGTTGGTATTTGTGTCTGGGGACTTGGGCAATCACCGACATGTATGGTGTTCGGTTACCAGGGGCGTGTTTTCGGTCAGTTTTTGTACTAGCCAGGTAGTACTGAATTGAGTAGTGTGACGACGGCGTGGGCTTCAGGAACGCCGATCTTTGGAGAGCGTCATACGTACATCGTTCAGGCCCAATGAGGGCGACACGGAGGTCGGTGAGCAGGACCGTTCAACCCTTTTTTTTGCGATCACCAACGAAATGGAATGGAATGGCGCCGAAAGCCGCTCCCCTCTGTTGGCTTTGTTGATGCCTTGCCTTGACATAAGTAGCAAGATGCCTGTGCCTACGGTTGAGAAGGCTTTGGGGCAACTTTTCATGCCAAGGAAGAAAATGATCTCTGTAAACAAGATATATATGTTGAGCATGACAGCAACCGACTCCCATGGTTAAGGAATGTGGGGTCTACTGGTGATCGACATCTCACGCCGGCACTCAGTCTCTCTCGCTCTTTTGTTGGCCTGTCTGTCGGTCTCCCTTGTTCTTGTCAGGGAGCGAGAGGCGAAGGACAAGGAGTGGGAGGAGAAAAAAGCGGCGAAGAAGGCGGAGGAGAAGAAGGAGAAACGCCGCCGGGAAAAGGCCGGGAGCGACGACGATCAGGTGCGGTGTGCAGCTCACTTTCAAACAAGCAGCCGTGCTGATGACAGGAGTTGAAAAATTTTGTTTCAGGCGCGAGGCGAGGCTTGTCCTAGGATGGGTGGGGGGCGGGGTTGAAGTTTCGTTTCAGACGGGAGGCGAGGCTGTTGCTAGTGGTTTGTGGCGAGGCTGCGGAGTCACTGCACAGGAATGGCACGACGAGGCGTGATGCGGGTGTATCTGATGGTATCCCTTGTGGCAGTGTATGACAGTACGCGTTTTTTCGTCAACAGGCGAAGGGCGTGGGCATTGTTTCTTGACATCACCAGGACACAAGTTTTCATGTTTATTTTTAGCAATAGACGTACATCCTGGTTCTTTGGGTGCGCGTGGAAGTTTTGTTTTCTTGTTGCCGCCCCCGGTACGTCTGCGTGGCCTGTTCGAACTTGATGTCATTCAAAGTCAATTTTGTACGAACCCGATCACTCTTTTTGCTGATGTTGGTGTTTCCTCGTAATGGGGTGTTATGCCCTCTGGTATACTCTTGGCTACTCTTCAACAGGAAACATACCGAATTGCCGTGGGGGTCACAAGCCATAACGAGGTAGACATGGGATGAAAGTGCAAACACACGGGCTTCTTATGCGGTCCTCAGCGTCGATACAAATCTCACTCGCGAGTGTCTAGATACAAACACAGTGTAAGAGTGTTCTTATACAAGCAGGAGCAGCAGCGTCGATACAAAGACGGCCGAACACTCGCGACAAACCGAACGTCTCTGGAAAAGAGCAAGTCCAGACAGCCGATGAAGCGGCGAAGAGCAAGGAAGAGTGTGCCGCCCTTTGTTTTGTTTTTGTTCTTCTGTTTCTTGGTTCTGTAAGCTTATCGCTGGGTACGGGGCAGCTCAAACTCGGGTGGCCGCCGGGCCCACTTCCTCGCAACGGCACTCTAGGTCCTTGATGGGCGAGCTCATGTGAGAATCAACAGTGACAACGCCAAAGAACAAGCAGCAGGTAGCCTCGCGTTCACACCCGTTGTCTATGTACCACACCACGATATGATCAGGACGGTCAGGAGGGAGGAGCCCGGAAGGGGGGCAGCAGGCGCGGCGACTCGCAAGAAGCCGAGCGTGACAGCATGATGGCAAAGGTGAGGACCGAAATTTTGTCGAGAAAGGATTTCCGCTTGCGGTTCTACACCTTGCTCTTGCAACCGAGGTGGTGGGTCGGACAATTAAATAATACCCGTTGGAGATATAACCGCAGTCGAAGGGGATGTGCTGAAGTCCTGACATGGAGGGGAGGGAAAACGGCTGGAAACTGGGCTTATTTTGAGTCTAATTCTTTTGGCAGTGGCTCCTACCATGTATGCGGAACGCAGGAGCTTCGTTGACTGTACGACCGCGTACACCGTTGCATCCCGGCAGGTCTGTCAAATGTGTTGCATGTTCTCCTTCGACCCATCCTTGGCCCCGCCCACCCTACCCCTCCCGTAAATCGAATGGACCCACCGACCTGACAGAGAGCCGAGCGCTTCGGCGCCAGCGCTAACGAGCCCAGAGGATCCTCCAACAACGACCGCAAAGGGCGCGGACAGTTCCGTGCCGGGGGCCCCGGCAACAAGAACAACGACAAGAGGGCGGGGGGGCGCGACGGCAGGGATGGAGAAAGAAGGCCCTCGGAGATGAATGTCAAGGATGCTCTGGCGGGGGGGTTGTCGGCCCCTCGTGGGGGCTCTAGGCGTGACCGGGCTAGAAGCGAAGATGAAGGCCCGCGGGATGTTGTCATCCACGTGGATGGCGAAGACGGCGGGGGTCGGGGCCGCCCCAGGGACCGCGCGGAGGGCAGCGGGCGGAACGTCCACGTGCGCGTCGCCGGGGAAGGCGGCCGGGGGGACTCCGAGGATTCGCGGTACCGCGGCGACCGGGGCCGGGGGTATGGTGATGACAGTGATGGCGAAGGGTCGGAGCGCGAGGTTATCGTGGTGACTCAGTCGGGTGTGGACGAGAACGATAGGTGGCAGGCGGACGGGAACGGGGTCTTCGCGGAGGATGGTCTGGGGGGGGGCTCCGCAGCCCCCGCCTCGTCCACTACCACCCCCCACTCCCCCGCTGACGACGACCTTCGCGGAAGGATCAAAGGCCGCGGCCGTCGGGGTGTAGAATGCGAGTCCTCCCCCCCTCGAAAGAAGGCCGCTCTCGCTCCCTCTGGCGGAGATCTGCGGGAAAGAATTTCCGGTCGGGGGCGCCGCGGCGGTGAGTCCCCGCCCAAGAAGCAGCACCGCAAACATTCGCCATCCGCCCCGGGAAGCGACGGTGTTGGTACCGGCGGCGCGGGGTCCCCGGCCCGGCCGGCGAAGAGGGCGCCGCCGGCCGAGGTCGGCAGCGATAAGCGCAAGCGCGACGGGTCTCGGGACAGTGGCGGGAGGGGCGCCGACAAGTCACGGGGCGGCGTTGGTATGTCTGACAGGGGGAGAGGTGGAGGAGACAGGAACGGTGGCGGTGGCGGCGGCGGCGGCGGCGGCGGGAAGGGTGACAGGCGTCGGTCTCGCAGCGAGGAATCTTCATCCTCCTCTTCGTCTTCATCGTCATCGAGTTCTTCGTCCTCGTCCTCCTCCTCGTCCTCGTCCTCTTCGTCGTCATCGAGCTCTTCCTCCTCCTCCTCCTCCTCCTCTTCTTCGGCGTCGCCTGTTCGCTCCTCTAGCAAGCGGCCCTCCAAGCGGCCCTCCCGCCGGAGGTGATGCGATTTCGGTCACATCCAATGGTGAAATTCTCAACACGACTTTTTGGTCATGGCGGGGGCTGGAAATGAGTACAATGGTGGGCCAACTCCCCGTGGCTTGAGGCGAGCGAGACGTGAATAACTCGTCTGTTTCCGGACTCCGGCTGTCTAGTGAAGGCCCGCTCCGTCCTACATTGCTCAGGGGGTGCGAGGGACTTTTGTGTTGGAGGGCGTGGTGTCCCCTTTGGTCTTATGTGCATCATCCCCGTCCACCATTCCCCACGGGAAACAAGCCAAACGGAGGGACTTCGGCTATTTTAAGTGTAGACATACTCCGAACAATGGCGGAGTAGCACTTCGTGTCTACACATGACTTTTGTTCTGGGGCTGCCTTGCAAAGTTTCTCTTTTTCATCGTGCTGTTAAAGACGTTTTCCACCCGGTGCCTTGAGGGTGTCCGAGGCAAACGGGTTTCTCGACAAGATGGCTTCGTCTAGTTGGGGCGTTGCGGCAGCGCGAGCAGCAAGAACAGCGTGGTCTGTGTCTCGTTACCCTAGGCTCCAGAAAAAACATTTGGAGTTCTTGGGGGTAGTGCTCTTGATGAAGGCAGCCGGAGAGGAGAGGGAAGGGGATGCTAACTAGAGGATGTGCCCATGAGAAGCTTCTGAGTATGGTCTCGTTGTCACCGACCGTTGTCGTGTGTTACCCTTGCGAGAGGGCTGTGTGTGTTGGTGTTGGAGTTGCTACAAGTAGTACCGGGAAGAGAGGGAGGGTTGTCAAACTTGTCGTGGGAAGAGAAAGAATACCATCCGTTCAGGGGAGACGTAAAACTGCGAGCTAATAGGTGCTAGCGGCTTAGAAGTTTGGGTTGGGTGGCTGATGGGGGCCGAGTCTTCAAAACGATGATTCATGAATTCAGCAAGAGCTGGTCTTCAATCGAATGGTCATTTTTTTTGTGCTGTTTTTCCCTGTTCACCTCCCGGCGGGTTTTCTAACCCCGTGAAGTGACGCCGAGCAGATGCGGACAAAGAACGTCGGGTCGGGTTGCCAGACATGTGTAGATTGCATCCCTGGCCGGCACTGCAACCGCTGGTGTTGTTTTCTGCAGGCACTGACGAACGGACGCAAGAAGAAACACCCACACATTCGTGAATCGTTTCCCCGAGCTGGCCGTCTGTGGGGAGCCATACAACACTTCACTTCACTTCACCACAATCTGTTTCAGCTGGAAGACAACCGGTGCGTGAGGTAGGTCCCCCTCTGGGTGGAAGCAACGGCGTGGGCTTGGGCGGGGATGTACCAACACCATCACGTCCTGTCCAGCAGACCGATCTCATTATTTTAAGCATGGCACTGAGCTCATGCCCAGCGTTGGGCTTGGGAATGCAATAATGCGTTCAAAACATACATTTTGCTCACGTTGCTCCTACAAACTAAACTTCTCTCGGCAGGAATGCGCCGAATATCCAACGCATTTTGTACCAAATCGAAGTCACGAGCGGGGGGGAACACAAACATCACAAACAAGCTGCTTAAACAAGCGTATTGCCGAACGTTGCGCACATACGCACTCCGAGAGATATCCTGAACCTCGCACCATCCCTCGTTTTAGTCACCGATTCTCGTTGCTACACACAACGAACCTTGCGGCACACTTTACTACTCGAACCACACTGGCGACTCCTGTGAAAAAAAACGCCAGCAAGGACAGACAGCTCCACGCTGCTTTCGACCCGCAGAAAAAACCCAGATAACTCACCTCATTCACCACGAGCAATCCTCCGGAACCACCAACGCCAAGGGCATCTCAACCGGAGCTTCAAGGTTGCTCGTAATACTACCCATAGACCCACAAACAATAAGTCTATACACTGTATATTGGTGGTAACGCCGACACCCACAAATATGAAATAGCTTATTGGTAACGCACATCGACAGCACCGGGTTCTTATGGTGTGATGGGCGCGCACTCGAAGGTATTTAATTCGTACTAATATAGGTGCCGCCCGTTATCCAAGCACAAGAGGCGTTCCCTTCCCGTGAAAAGCAAGCGTCACGCTGATGCTTCTGCTGCCTCTGGCGTGCACCATGGGTAACTCCACTCGAGCGGGGGGAAGCTACAGGCCGGAGAAACCACCAGGGCCAAGCCACAGCAGTCAAACTTTCCGCGAGTACCTGCGACAGCAGTCCACGAGTGCGTCAGGACAGCCATTGCAAACGCGCTCAGGTCATCGGTGGCCGCGAGCCTTAAGAGCGTGGTGCCATATTCAAGATGGGTCTGGTGCGAAGATTAAGATTCGACGGAAGGCACTCGCGGCGACCAAAAATCAAGGAGCAGACGGCACATGTCTCGGGTTCATGCCTGGAAGTCTCACGACGAGATCCCTCAACTACGCGACAACAACAGACGGCATGGTTCTGCGCAGACGACGGTGAAACGGATGGGAAACGTCAGCTCGAAAAACATACAGACCTGTATCGAAGGCATCACAACAAAAGCAGTCGGCGCGAAGTCCGCTACCAGGTACATGTCAAAGCCATAACTCCTGAAAGTCCCCACCCAAACCCCGACACAACAGTAAATGCACCGCGAGCGTCATCATACCACAGCCCCACCCACCTAAACAGGGTCTTCAACAGAACACCACGCGTCCCAGGCTTTCGTCTCAGCATCGGGGACATGGCCCGCAGCGGTGTTGCCACCGCCGTTGAAGCCGTCTCGGTCTTTGTGTCCCCTGCCGCTTGGGCGATGCGGGGGGGCTCACCGCTGGCCCACAACCAAGAGACTGCGTGAACGGCCTCCGCCCGCGAAAGCAGGCAGCGAGTGTCCTTCAGCCTCTGCAGCTGCTCCTTGGTAGCGGCTTCGCCGTCGACTCTCCCCTCCCGCAACAAGCGGGTCGTGAAAGCCAGCGGTGTCTCGCTGGTCTTTTCCCACCGAGGGGTAATCCTCGTGACTCCGACGGCCCGCGTCGTGTTCGCTCCGGCATCAACCAGCAGCCTCACGATCTTGGGCGAGCAGAGCCGGCCGGCGCCGACGTCGACGGCGCACATCACCGGCGTTCGGCCGTAAGGGTCCCTGGTACCGTTCACGTACGCGTCGGCGTCAGCCTGGCGCCGCCGCAAGAGGAACTTGACCGCAACGGCCCGACCGTTCTCCGCCGCAAGAATCAGGGCCGGGCCTGTGTCGACGACCCCGCCGGCGTCCAACAACACGGCCATGAACTCGAGATGCTCCTCGTCAGCAGCCTGACGGAGGGCTTCTACGCCGCCGCTTGGACCGCCACAACCCCGGATGCCGACCTGTCGTATCATCTCCCGCGCTACGTCCGGGTTCCCGTGTAGCGCCGCCATTTCCAACGGGACGTAGGATACCCCCATCGGCGTGTGCGAGCACAAGAGTGGGTTCGCCTTCGCGCGCAGGAGGACCCCGATGGTGGCCGCGTGTCCGCTCTCGGCCGCGAGGTACATCGGCGTCGCTCCGTCGGGCATGCGGCAGTCAACCTTCGCGCCGGCGTCGACCAGCGCTCGGACCACCTCCGTGTGCCCTTCATTGGCGGCCAGATGAAGAGGCGTATTGCCGGCGCGGGTGGTAGCGTCGACGCACGCGCCGGTCTCGATGAACATCTTGGTTATGGACAGCTTCCCACCCTGGGCCGAGATGTGTATAGCCGAATAGCCGCTAGGATCCGCGAGTGATACGTTCGCCCCTTTGCTCAACAGAGCGTTGACAACACCCGCGTAGCCCTTGACCGTCGCTATCATGAGAGCGGTTGCGGCGCTGGGATTGCCCAGGTCGATGTCGGGTGCTCCCCTGCTGGAAAGAATCGCGCCTGTCATCTCAACGGAGCCGTCCCAAGCGGCCTTGTGCAAAGCGTTCATGGGACCTCGGGTCACCTGCTGTGGGCGAGGCATGGCGGGCCTCCTCTCTCTTGCTCTGCTGCAGTGGATGCCGAGAGAGCATTTACAGTATATGCGGTGGTCAGGAGGTCCTCAAGCGCGATTCGTATATATGCCAGCGCTGGCGAGCGCGAAGCGCGCTCCAGTAGCTCGGTACAGCGATCTAGGCCTGCCCACTTCACACTCACCAAGCTTGGGGTGTGGGCGTTGGTTAGGGTAGAATGCCGCATATGCGGCGACCAAGGACATAGCAGATCGGATGCTGGAGTGCTGAATTACGCCGCACGCCCCCCCCCCGCCCCACGGATACTTTCTATGTGCCCCCCACAGGTACGACTTGCACGCTCTTCTCGACGTTGCGCACAGCGGCACGGCTGTGTGCTTGCTCCACACCAGCCACCATGATGAAGGGAACACTCTGGAAAAGCACTTCGAACTATGTGGGAAGCATGGAGAAGCGATTCTGTGTCTTGGTCGGCACGCTGGTGCTGGACTTCGAATCCGAGGACGACTTTTCTTCGGGAGCGCCGCCAAAGGCGGAGGGAGAGGTCATCGGGGTGTCGGCGTGGAAAGGTAAGCACGCAGCCAGAGACGAAGAACCAGGCGCTGGGCAAGACAACTAGCAGAAAACCATCTGACGCTGTTGTTGTTCGCCATTCATTTGTTCGAGGGTTGTCGAAATTGGTCTGCCATGCGGAGAACCGCATCCAACGTCGCGCGGGCGGTGTGCTGTTGTTTCCTACGCAAAGGCAACCACGCCGCTTGATTGCACGGCATAATTGTTTGGGTGACTGTCCTCCTGAGTGGACTCCGTGCATGCCCCCATACAGCACTGCGACAGCAATGTATGTGGGCATGCATATGGTATCATTCTTGCGTTCCCAATACATGTTCTCAACAAATATTTCATCATTTTTTTACCGGCGATCTGAGGACTCTTCTTGTGTCACAACACATTCCCTCCGCGCGAATTCTCCGCAATTGATTGTTGCGGCGAGGAGTGACAAGACAAGTTGGTCACCGTATGCATACAACGCACTTTGAACTCATTGTCAATCTACAATCATGAGCTTTACTCTGTGGAAGATATGATCTTGTTGTGTGTTTGTCAGAAAAAGTGAGTGTTTTCGTAAGAAAGGTACGAAGAACAAATAAAGGGACGAGCGAACGGCCGGGTACATAGTAACGTGTTGTGGTGGGCTGTCTTTAAACACCCCCGCGTCTAGAGGGCCTTCAATCAATCAAACTTGGCCGCAACGCATCACGCCGTAGAGTCAACGTTGGACAATTCGCCTAAGAGGCAGCTTTACCGTAGGTGACGTAAGATACCACCCCCCCCCCTGGATGGATTGTCGACGCTCGATTTCTCTGCAGTAAACACAGCAGTTCGAATATGGCAGCGTCTGAACCGCACGTCCGTGGGATGCAAACGCGAGCACTGCTGTGTTGTTGTTTTGCTCCTCGGTGACGTGAACCACCACTCCCGTGTGCTCTGCGGACGTCAACCCCTATACACCTCGGCCGTGCATTCCTCCTCCCTTGTCCAACTCTAAAAACATCCCCCAATCAGCCGCTGAAAATCAAGACCCTCGGGCTGCTGCAGTATCTCGAACGGCGACTGTGACTGTGAGTGTTGGTTTCGTATTCCTAGACAAAAGGGAGAGATTGCTGGGAAAATGTCGCGTCTCTCTACACAACCAGTAAATTCCGACCGAAAAAACGACCGTTCAACAGGAAAATCTCTACAACGCGGGGCGCACCCCGAGGGCTTCGTGTACGTGACCCGCCTGGGCCACACCAACTACTGCGCCGTGCCGTCTAAGCGGCACCACGACGAGTGGATGCTCTGGATGAGGACTGCGCTCGACATGGCGCTGGGCACGGACGGGGTCGGCCCCGCACCGGCCGCCGGGGGAGTTGCGATAAGCCGGGAGGCGTTGCATAGGGGGGTGCTGGAGCCTCCGCGGCCGGCGGAGAGCGAGGTGGGCGTTAAGGGGGTGCTCCGCACTGGTTTAGAGTTGGTCGGTCGTCGTCATGGCCTTGGTTGTGTTGATGGCTTTGGTTGGTCGTTTTAAAAGCCATGGTCGTTTGAAGAGTCGTCATGGCGTTGGTTGTGTTGGTGGACTGGGTGGATCATTTGAGAGTCGCCATGCCCGTGGTTTATGGTTTGCCGTTGTGTGCTGCATCAAGAATCGCTCCGGTCTTCTTGCTTGATTTCTCTGTACCTGTCGAACTGACGCGGACCCCAAGCCGTGGTCACAGGCCCAACTACCCAACGAAAGGGTACACACCTCGGAAATGATGTGTCCGGCGTGTCTTGAGTTATTTTGGTTGGCTGGCTTCGCGGATGTTTGTTCCGTCTGGTAGGTCAGGATTGAACGGGAGGGCTGGAAGGTTTGCGTATTTCGTGGTTTGATCAAGTCATTTGCACTCGGTGGTTATTCTTACTCACGGGCTTGCCCCCGCGTTCGAGACCCCTGTGGGCACTGGGTTTGTTCCCCCCCGGCCTCACACTGCTCCCGTGCATTGTTTTCAGGGATAACGTTTACGTCCGCCCCGTAAGTGAGGTCCCTTCTTGTCGTTGTCACCGTTTTCTACTAACATGTTTTCTCTCAACTTGGCGTCGATCCGCCTGACCGCGATCACATGCTAGGTTTGCATGAAGTCGGGGGTGGCGTTCGGGATGACACAGTCTCGCCACTACTGCTCCAGCTGCGGTAGGGTCTTCGTGGTCGAGCACTGCAATCAGCGTGTCCCCCTGCCTCACCACGGTTTCGAGCAGGTGAGCAGAAAAAAACAAAACATGTCTTTCTTTTCTTTTTTTTTTTTAAGGAGTACACCGCATCGGTACAGCGGGGGGGTGTACGCGGGACAACGCGTGCCGTTGTAGTCAGGTAAAACGCGTGCTTTTGTAGTCTTTAGACCGTTGACCTTGCATCCCTACATGGAGCGATATGCTGGGTTTTCGCCGGCCCAATGTGGTTCATTTGTCCTTGCGTAGGTACAGGGGGTTGAGTTTTACGGTGGCGTTTCGGGTGCACGTGGTACACGGCTTCGTGAATAAGGACAGACAAATATTGTAGGCACCCCTTACGTACAAATACACCCGCGTCGTGCCGAGATCAGTTGCTGCATGATCGTATCTGCCACTTCGATGGTCTCCCAGGACCTCCCCCCCGCACACACACACAGCATATCGCTCCGACCCGGCATTGTAGGGATGCGAAGTCAACGGTCTAGCGACCACGGCATGCGTTGACATGGGTATACACTCCACACACACACTTCGCGTGACATTTGCGCTTATGATCCTTCGTTTGGCTCCCCCCCCCCCGCGGCGCTGCTGCTGCTGCTCCGATGGTGGTGGGTTTCTCCCCGAAACAGGCGGTTCGAGTTTGCGACGATTGTCTGGAGGCACAGCAGCACCTCACGCACCTAAGGTAGCGAGCGAGACCGTCCACATGTTTCGGCGATGCCGCTTTCGGCGACCGTGTGTTCTGTAGTTCGTCTTATCCTTACGCTGTGGGTTGTGTTAGTATGTTGTAGGCTGTGGTTACATGCGAGTTTTGCTCCACCCTTACCCCTCCGCGCCTATCTGCCGGCTCTTACTCCGTTTCTTGTTTGACAAGGTACATTTGCTGTACTTTGGACGCCCACCTTCATGACCAGCGGCGGGCGAACCGGGGGGTGCGCGCGTCGGTAGTGAGGAGGTTGGGGCGGCAGCCGGAAGGGGGCGGCAGCCAAGCGCCCGGGACGTTGTCCAGCTCTCTGAAGGTGCGTCTTTGTGATCTTCCAATAGTCGTCTCTCGCATCAATACCTTAGGTTGGTTGCGAAAGATAGCACAAGGATGCCTCGATGTAAAGCAACCAATCGGTGAAATCTGGGCGACTTGCTATCGAGTATTGTGTGCTTGCGTTAATTTTGTGTTTTAAACCATTTGGTCCTTGTTGTTACCCCTCTCCCTGCCCTTCCCCGTTTGGTTGTCTGTGGGACCTTAACCAATCCAGGTGGGACTGGACCTCCTTGAACAAGGCGAGCTCAGCGAGGAGGAGTTTAGCGGGCTCGTCAAGGCGGAGGAGGGTTTTCAGAAGGTGCAATACCCCCCCGGGGGGGGGGGGGATGTACACGCGTGCTGGCTTGAAGACCTGTTTTGTTTCTACGTCTGTTCGACTGGCAGGCTTACCACCTTGATAAGTGCTTTCGTCGCTCCTCCGGAATGATTTTTCCCCCGTGGTGGTGGTCCTCGTAGAGGAGGCGTGATGACCGCGCCGTTGTTGGGCCTGCCACGAAGTGCCCGACGTTGCACCATGCACGCATCCCTCTGTTAGAAACCCGCCCGCCTGCCTCCCTTGCGCTTTCCTCGGCTTTCAATCGACGAGATGCCACGCTTTCGCGGTGGCAGGGTCTGAGCACTCGACATTGCGTCACACAAACACACAGACACACTCGTGGTCTTTCTCATGCAAGTACTTCGAACCCGAGACTGGACCCTGTCGTCCAGCCTCCTCTATGCCTGGGGGAGCCCGATCACTATTATACTGACGATGTTCATGTGTGTTTATTTGTCCCGCTGCGAGACTGATGCGTTTCCATTGGTCATCCGGTTAGCACGGTCGAGATGCCGGTTGACACATACGTACGCGCACACTCCCCCCCCGCCTTCGTGGTTTGGCACAGCAAACGCAAGGATAATGACCAGCTTCTGGTTCATCCTTGTCAAAGCGTAGCCTGGGCCGGCGATAACCCGGCATATCGCTCCGTCCCGGCATTACAGGGATGTGAGGCTCAATGGTCTAACGACTACGGCATGCTTTAACATGTGTATAACATGTGTACACCCCCTCCCACCCCCCACTAAATAGGATGAGGCCTACAACCGCGTCCACGCCGGGTGCCTCGCGGCGTCCTCCCGTCTCGGAGACAGCACCCTGGCGGTCGTGGGGCTGCTGCACAGGGGAGCCGCTGCCGCCCCCTGGAAGGAGTTCAGGGCGGTGGTGCTGCACCTCCGCATGCTCGCGGAGAAGGACCTGGACTCGATTGACTTTTTTTGGCCTCAGGTGGGCAGCAGGCAGCCTTCTCGGGAGCCTTTTGTAACCCCCCGGTGTCGTCCAGGGAGGGGGCGGGTGTACTCAAGTAAACGCATGCGGTAGTCGTTAGACCATTGACCTCGCATCCCTTCAATGCCGGGGCGGCGCGATATGCCTGATTTTCGCGGGCCCAGGCAACGTTTCACAAGGACTGACCAGAACCTGGTTGGTGGCGTCCAGGGGGGGTGAATGGGGTTGCCCCGAAAGGAGCCAGATTTGCCTTGTGTGTCTAGTTCGATTGATCATTTTCCTGGCCTTTAGGGTTTGGGGGCAAGGGTACGTATGCGGGGGAGAACGGAGATGTCAAGGCTGGGGCAGCAGGCTGATTTTCGCTCTGCTACCTTCTACGGACCAGCCGAGTGTTTCTTGAGAAGTGTGAGGTCGTGGCAATCCAGGGCATCAACTGCCCCGCCCCTCCTCCCCCCCCGCGCTCTTCACTCCTGCTGCAGGTGTTGCACGCGTTTTACTTGCTAGTCCCAACGGTTACCGCGGAGGGCGTTTTTAAGGCCGAGCTGTTGGAGGATTTCATCTTGGCGATGGCTCTTCGCAGCACGCACTTGGCCCTCAAGCTTGTCTGGTGAGGAGTGCTTTGCGTGTTGTGTTCCGTCTTCTTTCGCCGTCGTCGTCTTCATCGTCATTGTTGTCGTTGTTGTTGCCGTTGTCGTTGTTGTCGTTGTTGTCGTTGTTGTTGTTGTTGTTGTTGTTGTTGTTGTTGTTGTTGTTGTTGTTGTTGTTGTTGTTGTTGTTGTTGTTGTTGTTGTTGTTGTCGTTGTCGTTGTCGTTGTCGTTGTCGTTATCGTTGTTGTTGTTGTTGTTGTTGTTGTTGTTGTTGTTGTTGTTGTCGTCGTCGTTGTCGTTGTCGGGCCTGCCGTTGCCAGGATAAGGTCTCCGAACTTGTGTTGCGACGGGCACCCCCAAGTCGTTTCACGCCTTCGGGACGACCTATCCCTCCGACACACGGCTTCTCGTTGCCGTTTCTCCGCCCAACTACCTGTCGGGATTTTCCTGCCCGGCCCATCACTTGCTGAGAGCATAGTACTTCTCGATAAAACCTGTTGTCGAATACAGCAGTCGTGCTCCTCAACTATGGCGTCCCTAGATGGCTGGGAAGAATGGCGCCAAGGTTTGACCCACAACAACAGTGGCTAAAATTTTTGCTTGTGGTTCGCAGCAGTCAGTCAGCCGCACCCCCCCCCCCCCTGTGCACACCGGCCCCCCCAGGGGGTTGAAAGGGTACGTAGAAAACCTCCCCCGGGAAGTCGGCCCCTACCCCCGGGAAAGGGAGCCACCGGAAAGCAGGTACGGCGGCTGGGGCAGACAAATGTTTTCAATGGACGATAGGGAGAGAGCGAAGGCGGGGGATAGGGAGAGAGGGAGGGAAGAGATAGAGAGGGTCGTGTCTAGAGTTTGTTCGCAGGTGGTGGAGGTCTGCACGGCTACTGCCGTTTCGGAAGCAGAACCGCCTTTTCAAAACGCGCGTGCGTGTTTGTTGGCGCGCGGTTTTTCCGACACCTTTGTGTGTGTGTCTCACTTTCGGTTTTCGGTTCGATCGGCCCTTGTTATTTTGTTATTTTGGAAGTTTCATGGGGGTTTGATGTCAAAGAGGGCCTGCTTCTTGTCAGCCGACTGTGTTTCGTCAGCACCCAAAACTCGAACGTTTCCCGTGTGCAACAAAGTAAACGGTTCGTTCCGTGCAACACAGTGCTTTAACGGGCATTAGAAATATCCTCACTGTTAGTAACCGAGTTCGACGTTTCCCGTGTGCGAGGTAAACGGCTTGCTCCGCGAAACAAAAGTATTCACGGTTATGAATCTGTCAGGCACACCTCATCCGACTGGCGGTGGAGGTGGAGGACATCGTCCTGGCGAGGGCTGACGAGGCTAACTCGTCAATCTCATCCGCGCGAAACTGCCGGGGGAGGAGTTGTGGCGGCGGCGGCGGCGGCGGCGGTGGGAGCGGTCGTGGTACCGATGAGACGGAATCGGGAGGGGGGAACGGGGGAGGAATAGCAGCATCAACGGCGGTAGCAGGGGTGCCGTTGGCGGGGCCAGCCGGGGCAGGGGGAGCATCGGCCGTGACAAGAGGAGAGGGGGGACCGGAAGCAACAACAGTAGAGGAGACAGCCGTAGCGCAGCCGGATGTTGGCTGCGAGTCATTGACTTTCGAGCAGCAGCCGGACCGTCCTTTAGGCCCCGTCGGGAAGAACGGCAACGGCGGCACGCCAGCGATCGTCGGGGCGCCGCGGATAGAGAAAAAGGGGATGATGCCGGTGAGGCCGGCAATAGACAGGACCACGTCTTCGCCGTCAATAGAGCCAGCAGCGCGATCGGCTGTCGCGGGCGGAGAGGAAGCAAGCTGCCGTGGTGACGGGGGCTCCGTGAATGGGGACTACTCGGACGGGCGCAGTAGCAGAGCCGGTGGACTAGGAGGGGACACGAGGGAAGCGTCCCCTCTCTCCGAAAGACGCCTCCTCACTACCCTGGTGAGGCCGACGGGCGCCCAGTCTTCGCTCGCGGGGGACGAGCTGCTGCTGCTGCGGGCGCTGCGTGCCGCGGCCGCGGAGCAGCTCGGTCTCGACTACGTGGCGAAGACCCGGTACACGAGCTGGGTCGAATCTGGTAGTGGCGGGGAGGAAGAGGAGGAGGAGGAGATGGAGAGGGGCGAGAGCGAAGCGAGGTGAGGGAGAGGACACGGCCGTGTGTTAGAAGCCACTGTTTTTTGCCGGCAACGCTTGAGGGGGCTGGTTAACTATCATGTCGGGCTGCTACTGTGCTGTCGTTTTTTTTGGGGGCGCTCGCGACGTTTGGGCGTGTTCTCGCTGCTTCGTGCTCGTAGATTGGTTTGTTTTGTCTCCGCGATGATATTTCGAGTGCCGATTGGCGTTTGTTTTCCCTCCTTTTTTTTCGTCCGATCGAGTATCCGGCGGTCACGCCGGTAGTAGGCCGAAGCTTCGCTACATTCCCGCCGTATGAACTGTGCGGGTGTTTTCTCTCAGCGTTGTCCTCCCTCTCTCTGCGATAGACGTACAGACGATGGCATCTGCGAGCTTGATGGTCGCCCTCCCTCTTTCGACCGATGCCTGAATCAGTCGGGGTACCGATGTCACCCCTAACGAACCTGGCAACTAGCGATGAATACGATCACGTGCTCGTACATGAAACGTTTTGAGTGTATGGCGCTAAATTACGGGTTTACTTCATCAACATCTTCACCATCAAACAGAAAAAACATATTGTTAGCTCATCGAAACGCCTTTCAGTGAAGACGAAACGCTCTTCAGTGAAGACGAAGCTAAAGATAATGTATTGGTTTGCCGTAGCACCCCCGTTTGGGCAGTTTGGCTGTGACCACGGAAGGTGTCCGCGCCAGTTGGACCAGTACTATACGGATATCAGAAGGTACTGGGCGGAGACCGAAACGTTTTTTTATGCGAACTCAACAACAGGAAGTCAGACAGGGTGCCTATTGCCCCGATATTCCGCCTCTCACCGCCCCCCGGCGCCTCCCAAACCCAACCAACACCCGCGAAAAGGTATTTTGAGGACCAGCTGACATTTGTGCAGTCCCTCGTGGACATCGCCGAGCGCCTCCGTTTCGTCGAACCGGTGACGGCCCGGGGGGAGCACCTCAAGCGTGAGCTGCGGCAGCTTCAGAAGCACGGCGACAACGCCTACGGCGGCAACGTCGCCGCCGATGTCGTCGATGGAAGTCTTCGTGAAGAAGATGGACGCGCCCAGGCCGAAGTGGGCTGTAGCAGCAGCAGCAGCAGCAGCAGCAGCGGCGGCGGCAGCGGCCAGGGGGAAGGGAGCGCGTGTGGCCCCGGCGGCAGTGGCGAGGGAAACGATGGGGAGGTTCACGGGCCTGCTACAGCAGTAGAGCAAGGTGGGGATGCTGCAGGCAGCGGTGGCCCCGCCGCGGATGCCGCCTCCCCGCAGCAGAAACCCTCTGACGCGAGCAAGGAAGGGGAGGACACGGCAGCAGCAGTTGTGGTCGAGAAGAGGGTAGATACGCTCGTGTTTCGTGACATCGATCAGCGTAGGGATGATTTTGGCGTTGGCGTTGTCGGTGCCACAGGCGGCGGCGGTGGTGGTGGGGGACCTCGGGGGTTTCTACCGGTGTGCCGGGCCACGGAACCGATCTGCCCGATCGTCAGCATCCCGCCCGAGGAAGGGCACGTCTTCAAGACCAAGCAGCGCGCGCCGACGCTCATCACATGCGAGATCATCGTGCCGCAGCAGGCGCGGCGGCGGCGGCGGCGGCGGCGGCGGCGGCAGGACGATGGCGTTGGCGACGGCTTCGAGGAAGAGAGAACCGGCGGTCCGGAGTCAGCAGACTCGTTACCTCCGCTGTCGCCGACGGCGTTGCCCGCTACGGCGGCCCGGAGGGCGTCGAGTGCAACGGGGACGGGTTCAGTTACCGCCGGGGATGACGGCGACGGTAACGGTAACGGCGGCGGCGGCGTGGCCCTAGCTAGTGGCGCCGGAGGAGCCTTGGCTTCTCAGCGGGCCTTACACGGTAGTGGTGGTAGTAGCGCCGGCGGCAGCGGCGGCGGCGGCGGCGGCGGCAGCGGCAGCGGTGGCGGCACTAGGGGTGTTGGTGGGGTTGGTGTTGCGAGGGAAGAAGGCAACGGCACACGGTCGCGCTCGTTGCCCCTGCAGCGGGCCGTGTCGGGCCCGGGGCGAGCAGGAGGAGGCGTGGCGCTGGGTGGGGATGGCAACGCGGCGTCCCCGCTTCGGCTTCAGCGGCGGGAGACTTCGAGAGGGTCCGAGAGAGAGGAGGTGGAGGAGATGATCGAGTCGCAGGTGAGGAGGGAGAGGGGCGTACCCTATACGACACAAGATATAACACACCCCCTGGACCGATTTTCAAAGCTCGATTTATCAACAGCAGAAAAACGTCAGTCACAGCGCCGAAAACGGCGGCGTTGAAGCCGTCTTGTCGAGAGCTCTCCGAAAACGCATCGTTTCGTTCATGCATCCTCTTCGTCGTGGAGTAATCGATCTTTGAAAATCCGTCCAGGGGGTGTTATCTCATGTCGTGTACGTTAGGCGGTAACGTGCCGCGTGTGTATGTTGACAGGCGTTGCCGTGCTTCGTCCTAGCGGCGTTGTACGAACTCGGGCTTTTTGCTCTCAAGTATCGCCGTGGGAGGTCGATCCGCGTTGCGTTGGGCATCCGTACATGGCTTGTGTCCCCAACCTCTTGGCGGTGTTTTGTTCGTGAGAACAATAATAACGCCTACCGCAGTTTTCCAGAGGGTCCTTTTTTCCACGGATTTTGTGACTCGCAGGACAAGCGTGCCGTCTTCTGACGGGCGGGGTTGCCGAGTGCTGACTCGCTTTGGAAGGTTCTCAGCGAATAGGCAGATTTTTCTTGAGCGGTCGCCGAAAATAGTAAGAAATGTGGTTCACCAGCACGTCGCGTCCCCCCTCTCGATGTCTGTTCGATTCGTTGGGGGTCCATCCAGATCGAGGGACAAGGAAGCTTAGGCCGTTCGATCGACAACAAGGACGCCGACGGCGGCAGTCACCGCTCGGGGAGCGGCTCCTTTGGCGGCGGCACCGGCTCCGGCGGTCTTGTGCCCCCGACGCCCCCCAGAGCGGGGGCGGGGTACCCGTGGTCAACGCCGCAGCCGCAGCCCCCCCGCCTGCTGCTGCGCACCCACAGCGACCCTCCTGTGCCGCGAACCGGCTTCGGCGGCGGCGGTGGTAGCGCGCCGGCGGCGGCGGAGCGGTGTGGTGCTCCGGTCAGGCGTCTCTCCCTAGGGGGCAAGGCTAAGTCGGTGCCGTCGCGAGCGGGCAACGGACCTCACGGCGACACCGGCAGCGGCGAGGACGGCGATGTGTCCTTGGGTGATTCGGCGGTGTACCCCGAAGTCCTCTCGGCCGTAGGTTTGGAGCCGGCGTCTTGGGACGGGGGGGCGCGTCCAGCGACAGCGCCGGCGGTATCGGCTGGGTTTGGTGCGCCCGACAGGGAGGCGTTTGCGTCTGCCGCAACCCCGCCTAAAGCCGGTGGGCACGACGGGAGCGGTAGCGGTAGCGTTATGGCCATGGAGACTCTATCGCCGCCGTCGCTGAAGAACAATTCCAGCAGCGGCAGCAAGGTCTCGCTCATGGAGCGACAGGATTTGGTCCTGCCCGAACCTGTGCGTGAGAAAGGTCGCACCGGGGAGGAACAGGCATCTGACGTCGCTGACTTCATGCTCAGGTAATTGTTGTCGACAACATGAACACCGTTATCGCTATAGATTATTGATGATGGCTCGGGCGATGTGGGGAAAGCTGTTAAATCGTTACAACCCTACAGTGTAGGTGTTACTGAATTGTCGCGTTTTTTTGCTTGCCAGCGTCGGTTGTTTTTGCGCGTTTACCGTCTCAGGGTCGAGAAGCTTTTATTTTGTTGTTCTTCCGCCTGAATCGTTCGTAGAAACCTCACCGTTTGGTTCTTCCTCTTCGCGTTACAAGGTATCGCTAAATGCCTATCCTGCGCTCTTGTATGTTACGAACTTTTCAGAGGATATCCGACGCCCTGTACGCGATATCAAGCAATTCCCCCTCGAATACCCCATAATCCCCAACTCGGTGCTATAGCTTTCTTGATTTGTTCTTTTGTGCAAATTCTAAGCTTGGTGTTTATTCTACCAAGGTGCAGGAAATGGTGTTCAGTATCCAAGCTTGCCGTTTCTCTCTCTCTTCCAAGACCGAGGCAATGGTAATAAAAGCCTCCTCGAGGTGGGATGTTGGAATCCTTCCGCAACTACGCCTACGAAGCCAAATTTCTTCCTGGCCTACTGCAAATTTGAGTTCCCTTAGCTCGAGCTTGATCTTGATTACATGGCCGTCCGTCCTTGCACCAGGTCCCACGGTGGACACGAGCTCCTCCGACATAGCCCCCTCGGCAAAAAGGCGAGCGGCATCGGCGACGAGGGCAAGAGATCGGCGAGAGGGTGGGGCGAGGCGGAGGGCGGCAGCAGCGTTGGCGATGCCGCCGCTGTTGCTACTGCCGATGGGAATGGTGACGAAGGCGCGAGCAGCAGCAGACGTCCAACCGGCGACGCAGGCGACGGCGGCGGCGATGAGGAGGTTACCCCATTGGGCGGCGGCGGCGGCGGCGGCGCGGTGGAGAGAGATCCCAAGCATGCGGATATCGAGCGGGAAGTCCGTGAGCAGCAGGGAGGGGGGGTGCGCACCGACGGCAGCGGTGGCGTTGAGTCGCGAGGCGGCTTGCAGCGGAAGGAGTCCATGGCCGTGTCGCAGGCCCGGGAGTTGCTCCTGCAGGGCTTGATCTCTTCTGAGGAGCTGGAGGCCGTCGTCCAGAAGGATCAGGTGAGGGGTGTGGCGTGTGGGTGCATGCTGCGTTGGAGCACGCTGTCTAGTTTTAGCCTCTCGGCGAGGGTGGTGTGGGGTTCCGTTGTCGCGTGCTTTGTCGTTGGTACACGCCGGTGAGGGTCTTGTCTTGTCGTCTACGGTAATGGTGGGCCCGTTTTTTTTGGCGACCATGCCCTGCATAGCGACGAGAACATGGCGTGGCGCCACTGCACCCCGACTGAATAGCCGAAATACCGGCAAGAATAGCGACCATATTCCCTCCTCACGCTATATAAGGGGTCGCTGCAACTGGACCCCACCAATGTTCCAGCAACATTTTCCCCTATAATAGCTTTCAGAGATGGGGGGTCCACGGACCGGAAGACTTCATCATCGACGTACATATATACGCATGCATCGTCGAACCCGAGCAGGAGCAGGGTTTGCAGCTTCCCCCCCCCCCCCCCAAAGAAAGACCTCGGCCACTGACGTTGCCGTGTCTTCCTCCTGTCTTGTGAGCAGGCTTTCACGGAGGTTGTTGAGCAGCACGCGTTCTTGGACGTGCAGTTCTGCGTGGGGCAGGCGTTCGGGGAGTCGTGGGCGGGCAAGCGCGCGCGCATCAAGGCCGCGTCGGCGCTGGGGTCGGAGGCCGGGTGGGACTTGGTCAGCATCATCGTCAAGAGCAACGACGACATGCGGCAAGAGGTGGGCAAGGCGTGAGGCGGCAGCCTCCCGGAAAAAAGTTGTGTTTTGCGTGTTTGTGACTGCTTCACATAGTCGTGGTCGTCTCTTCCCGTTGACTGCTGCGTGTTGCGACGACGTGCGGCAAGAGGTTGTAGACAGGCGTGAGGAGGCAAAATAACTCGTTGCTCTTGGCGTGTTCCTTCTGCTTGTTTCGTGTTGTAGTCGTTGTCGTCTACTGCTGGGTGTTACGGCGACATGCGGCAATGGGTAACGCGTGAGGCAACAGCCTCCGGAGGAAAAAACCGAAATCGTTCTGCTTGCCTTAGTGGTGGCCGTCTCTTTCTGCTGTGGTTTTCTGTCCCCGTCTCCGCCGCCTCTGCTCGCAGGAGCGACGTGCTGGCGTTACACGCTGCCATTCCGCCGTGCTGTCTTTGTATCGCGCCTACTTGTGGCACGTAGGGTTGAAGCTTAGCCCGATCTTGAGGATGCCGTCCTTCTGAAACTTTACGTTTCTGCGCCCGAGCCATTGTTCTTTCCACGCGTTTTTTTGTCCTTACGATGCAATGGTGCGTTGCGTGTTGCGCATATGCCCGCGGTGCTCCTAACCTTTGTTTTTTTTTTTGTTGCTTGTGCGTGCAGGTCTGCGCGCTCCAACTGATAGGCCTGTGCCAGAGAATTTTCGCGGAGGCGCGGCTGGACCTCTTCCTGGAGCCGTACGTCATCGTGTCCACCGGGTCATCGTCAGGCCTCGTGCAGTGCCTCACCGACGCCATGAGGTGAAGCAATGCGCATACGTATGCATGTAGGCGAGACACCATTCCGAAATTCGGCCAACGTTGCGTTCGTTCCTTTCCTTGTTTTTTGAACGGTGGATGGTGGGCGTATGCAGGTATGCACACACACACACAGACATACCACCTTGCCGTTAGTCCTCTGCCGAAGCGACCGTTGCGTTCCTCTCCTTCTGTTTTGAGCACCGCGTCGATGAGGTCAAGGATGGAGGTGAAGTCGCCCCCTTCCCCGCTGTAAAACCGCAGTTCAGTTTTTTTTGTTATTACGCGTCTTTTTCTCGGCGAGGCGAGTTAACCCTTCTGTCCCTGGTGGCTGTCGACCGTGGTCGTGGCAGCATTGACGCGCTCAAGAAGAATACCGGCGTCGTGACCCTCCGCGACCACTTCGAGAGGACTTACGGCGAGCCGGCGTCGAGCCGGTTCCTGGAGGCTCAGCGTAACTTCGTCAACAGCCTTGCGGCGTACTCGCTGGCGTCGTACGTGCTCCAGATCAAGGACCGACATAACGGCAACGTAAGCATACAAGTACCGCAAGAGGGGAGGCTGTTGTGGATGATGATGAAGGCGTCGTCATGCGGCTTTGATGAGCACGTTTTTGGTGCTTGGTAGGGCGTGATGTCTTTGTGTGCGTGAGCTAGAAGAGAGGGAGCAGAGGCTATTGCGGTTGCTGTCGATGGGGGATGTGATGAGGTTTTGACTGCGCACGTTTGTGTTGGTAGGTGGGGTTATGTCCTTGTGTTTGTTTGTGAGAGAATAAGAGAGAGAGAGAGCGCGAGAGAGATTAATTAATATAGAGGGGGGGTGGGGGGGTGAGAGGGAGGGAGAGATAATGCTTCTTGTCCTGTCTTTCGGGCTAGCTATTTAGCGGACACGTCGATCGCTTGGCGGTCTTGCGCTCCCAGTCTGAATAAGGACCGGCGGATACATCTACGGATGCCGATGCTCGGTCTTGCTGAATACAGTACTGTAGCGCTGGTTCGAGTCGCTTCGCTCCACCAGGAAGTTAATATTTTCCTTTGTGGCTTCGCGTCTTGGTCGTCCTCTCTCTCGCCACCGCGATGCTGGCCCCAGGATAACACACAGCCTCAAAGAAAGAAGATCATCACTTGAGCCTGGCACCGAGCCCATGCTGAACATGCCCCCTTATCGGCGGCAACTCCCGCTAACCCGTACGTGACCCTACTACAGATCCTTCTAGACACGGAGGGACGTCTGATCCACATCGACTTCGGTTTCATCCTCGGCATGGCACCGGGCGGAAACTTCGCTCTCGAAAACTGCCCGTTCAAGCTACCCACGGAGTACGTGGACGTCATGGGCGGGTTGGAGTCGCAGGTAAGGACGGCTTGGTCTGTGTTGCCATGCATACTGTGAGAAAAGAAGAACGCTCGATGTGCCGATTCTGAGAAAGAAAACGCTCCGTGTGACAATTTGCAGTCCATCGATCTAGCCCCGTTCGAGCCGGCTGCAAGAGGCATGCACGTGCATGGGAGGTGTCAAAGCGAAGGATGGGGTAGAGGTGTGATGAGGGTTCGTCAGGTTTCGTATGTTGGGAAGAAGCCTGGCCGTCATGCCACCTCAGTTCCGGCGTTGACAGGGTGCGATGCCGATGGCCCGGCGGTACTGTAGGGCACCCCTCCCCCTCTGTGTCAGCTCCGTCCCTGCGTTGTAGGGATGCGAGGTTTATGGTCTATCGTCTACGGCATGCGTTTTCATGAAAACGCCCACACCTCAGTGTCATCACCAACCGTTCCGAAGTCATCTTCGGTCAAGCAAGGCTCATGAATCCGTGGGACAGGCGTTGCATCGCTCTCCCTCCAGCTACGGCTCTTGACCTCCAACCCCCATACCTACACACGGACACCCGGCTTTGTAGGGATGCGAGGTCAATGATTTCACGACTACCGCATGCACGACTGGGAGTACTGCCCCCCCCTGAACCACGCCCCCCCCCCCTTTACCGTTTGCGCCGGACCGGGCAGGCGTTCATGGATTTTGTGGTGGCGTTCACGTGCGGGTTTCTGACGCTCCAGGCCCACGGCGGTCGGCTGGTGAAGCTCCTGGGCATGATGACGCAGAAGTCGCCGTTCCCGTGCTTTCAGGGGAAGGACCCGCCCGAGAGCATTGTCGCCAAGCTCAGGTACAGAAGAGATCGCGACCGTGTCTGCGATGCTTGTGGTTTGATTCCGTTTGGTGTCTGTGGAAAGGCAGTACCAGTAGTAGGTCTTTTGGAATCATTGTCGCCAAGCTCACGTAAAGAAAGAAATCGAGCGACGTCTGCAATCCTTGCGGGTTGTTTTTTTGCGTGCGATTTGTGTGTGGAAAGGCAGTAGGTCTATCGAATCATTGTTGCCAAGTTCAGGGAAAGAAAGAAAATCGAGCCATGTCGGCGATGCTTGTGGTTTGCTTTCGGTTTGGATGCGAGTTGTGTGTGGGAGGCATCCCATATTCCTCCTCTTCTTTTTTGTCGTTGCCCTCATCACCTTCCTTTTTTTTGTTCGCGTTCAGCGAGCGCCTGATGCCACACCTGGACAAGAGCGAGACGGTCGCGTTCTGCCTGGAGCTGATTCGAGAGAGCTACAACAACTACGGGCAGAGGCAGTTCGACTACTACCAGTGGCTCACCAACGGAATCATGGCGTGATTTTTTTTCGTGGGGGATCGATCACCTTGCTTGGCTGCTTCGTTTTTTAATAGGGGCGTTTTAAACAGATCACCTTTCTCCCGTATTTTATGTAGGGAAACTTTGCGAAGCAAGTTCGAAGGCAAGAAAAGTTGGGAAATTCTTCAAGAATTTGGATTCTACCATTCCAAAGCCCTATAGCAGTACTCGATTCAAATTTTGTGAAAACTTTCCAAATTCGTCCATGAGTTCCAAAATTTTGCAGGCGCATTGCAGCAAGTTTGGAATAATGGACATGTTTGAAACGCCGCTAAGCCCGTTACGGCTTGTACGCGTCCTTGTGGTTGTACCTTGTCCACCGGCGTTTCGGAGGAGGCATAGTTGTTACTTTAGAGAATTTGATTGTTCTTTTACTTGGTTTTTCGTCGGTTAGTGAGACGTGACATAATTGGCTGATTAGGAGGATTGGCATTCTATAGTTCGTGTCGAAATGGCATTCTTCACTGCACCGAGTGAATGTACTATTACTGATTTGTCAGGGGATTTGAGAGATGTTGGCTGGTAACCTTGACAGTTGTTGCCGGGTTGCGGCGTTGTTTGTTACATTTTCCCCGGCTGGGTTTGTCCGCCTTTTGTGACTTCGATATTTTCGTCCTTGTTCGGTTTGTGTTGCGAGAGGATTGGCTGCACAAAACGTCCCTTCGTGTGGTACCTATCGTGGAACTCGATACGCCCACGTTTCCTAGGTGGTAAGTGGGCCCGGGCATCATGATTCTCTTCTCTTATGCGTTGATTTCACCGGTTCGATTGAGAAAACGCCCAACCCCTTCAGCTTTCACTTTTTTTTACCTTGAAACAAAAAAATATCCACCCGTTTCTCCGTGTTGCTGCGCGAGCGAAAGAACCGCCCGAAAGGCTGTTGCCGGATTCTGTGGTTGACTTTAGAGCCCTCCCCTTCGCGTATCGGTGCTTTGTTTCTCCTCCCCGCCCCCGTGGTCCCGTTTCAACGGTACTCTTGAGATCTCTCTTCCAAACTGAACTGGGAGTTCCAATACCTGGCTTCGGCGTTTGGCCTTTCTGTCGGGCTCTTTCGTTCGTAGTACCACACCATAGCGGCAAAACCGGTGGCCCTGCACTCTCTGTAGGTGTCGGAGCGTTTTCCATTGGGAGTGAGTGTGCCGACCGGGATCCAGGCTTCTTTCGTATCTTGGTTTGGATATAGTAGATCACTTTTTTGTTTGGTCTCATCACATACAGTACGGATACCTGTGACCAAGCAAGGCGCTCTTCGCTGTTCTACCCGCTACTGCTGTGCTAGAAAGAAGAGAAGGTTACAGCTGCTTCAAAGAACATGAAAGACTCTCCAAGTCTAACAACCGCCTGGAAACAGAAGGGAGAAGAACACTCGAACAGCCTCCACTGCTACACGACCAGCCAACACAAAATAAATATACACTGTTCCTACATGTTCGCCCTCCAGACACACACATAGATGTGGGGACATGTCAAGGCTTTCACATCCATCCTTCTCCTTCTCCATCCGCCGCCCTCCTCACCCTACACATGTCTTTACAACTGCCCCCCCGGGAAAAGGAAAAACGAAAACGGGCCTCAGGTGGTCCGCGGGCTGTTCGAGGGTTGTTGTTGTTGTAGTTGTCTTCACATTAAAAACCGTTCCGGTCTCCGCTCAGCACCTTCTAATGTCCGTATTGGTCCAACTGACGCGGACGCCTTCCGTGGTCACAAGACAACTGCCCCACCGGGAGGGGTACACCTTTCAGAGAAAAACAACAAAACAGACACCAGAAAGTACTCCTCCAAGGCGCGATTTGTTTTTCTACCCAAACGAAAAGAAAAAGAGAAATAATAACTATAATTATTATCTATTATTAGTAAAACGTAAAGAGGAAACAAGGCCAATGACCGGGATACAGACGATCGACCCCGGTCAAGTAGGGATGAAAGAACGAAAGACAACGAAAGAATGAAAAGAAAACAGATAGTAGAGAAGACATCGGAAACAAAAAGAAAGGTAGACAGATCTCCTTACGCTCCTGTCTACCGGAACAACAACGAAAGGCAACTACTAATAACGTGACACCGAACAGATGATGACTGGCTTCCTACGGCACAACATCATAGTGCACTTCACTTCGGGGTTCGGCTGGTATTCCTGCTATCGGACCGTCATCGACATCATCAGTCCGGAGCACATCTCTCTATCCGTTCAGCCATCTCCGTCCTGCTCTCTTCGGCTGCAGTCATGTCTTACGTCTTTCGACGTTTCGCCCCCCGTGTGCCCTTCCCTCCTGCTCTGTTTTCCGCTTGGTTTTCTGTCCGGTGTTTTTCTTCTTGTGTTCCTTCGCGCGTAGCATGCTTACATTCTCTTGCTCCTTGTGCCCTTTGAGCATGAACTTCTCCACTCCCCCTATCACCCCTTTGTACCACGGCACCTCGTTTCCCACCTTTGCTGCGATAGGCCTATTAGATATATTGGGAGTACTCGTAGCATAGTATGACGGTTGAGATGTCCGGTACGTACGTACGAAAGTAACAGTGATGAGATGCGGAGGGATAGGAACTTTCTACATATATTCCTTGGTTGCGAGAGGTATTTGGTGGAGATTCAGAGAGATTCGTTGAGTGACAAAGAGTGAAGGCGTGCCCAGATACCGTGAAGGTTTGACGAGCACTGGCACGCCCCCGATGAATACAATACTTTCCAATACTTTTGCATTACGTTTTCAACACGTTTCCTACCCATCCACGCTCCGCCATGAGCCACCCGCTTTGAGCTCCAACCACAAAGAACCGAGCCACCCGAATTATCGATCACGCTAGCGTATGACACGTCGTCTACGAGATTCGCGGTCGAGCTTGGTTTAGGAGCATCGCCTTGCGGCGATCGACAGCAGGGTCAAGATGGCCTCCAGGCGCGAAGATGAATCCCGCCCAGCAGCGGAAGCCCGCCAAGCAGCGGAGGACGCCAGGATCGAAGAACTGGTCAACGAGCGAGTAGCAGCTCGGATGGAGCAGCTGATGGAGGAGAAACTGGCCAAGAAGATGGCCGAGATGGAGGTGCGGCATCGAGCCGAGCAGCAGCGGGGAGGAAATGAGGAACAAGAGGCAGCACACCAGCAAGATCCTGGGCGCCCAACACCCAACCCCTCCGCAGACGAGCTGGCCGACGCGATTGCGACTGCCATGGCCGGTCGCCTCCAAACCTCAGGGGATATCGGTGCAGTGTCTCACCCCGCAACTCTTCGTATGACTGAGAGTAGAAGAATTGAGCCTTGGGATGGTGTGTTTAAGTCGGGGGACAGTAGGCAGCAGAAGCTTTTGATTTTTCGATCGAGCATGGTAGCACGCTTTGCGCAGGAGGATGTTCACGAAGTAGTGATGAGCAACCAAGACATCCCAGTAGGGAGGCAGGGGATCAGTATGACTGACCTGAAGACTGAGTATGGCGAACAAAAGGTAGCCAAGGCTATAGTGGCATGGAATGTGCTAATCACGTCAATCTCGTACATGCCGATTCTGTCGGAAATCGTGTCGGACGGGAGCCCGAGTGGTGGCTGGAGGATTTTCCTCAAATATTACGAGCCACAAGCGAAAGCGGAGAAGAAAAGACTTTTGAAAGAGTACCATGGCTTCGCAATGCATGCAAACGAACATCCACAAGAGTACTTCGGTAGGTTCTCTATTTTGCGGAGTAGACTAGCGTCGCACGGGACAGTGTATCCTGACAACGAAGCAAACGACCACCTAGTGTCTGCCCTCTCGTCCGACTACAAGATAGAGAAGAAACTTTTGGACCGCACCCCTGATTTGACTTTTGAGCAGATTGAGGATTCCGTGAAGGAGGCCCACACGGACCTGGTGCGCGCACGGGAGGAGGAGCAAAAGAGTGGCGTGGGGCACGCCTTCGTCGCTTCCGGTGCGCCCCGGGGCGACGGACGTGTCCCAAATGGGTCGAGTGGGAACGGCGGCGGACAGGACGGCAAAGGCGACGGTCGGAGCAGGAGCGACGAGACCAGAGGAGACAGGCGCTGTCATTTTCATCCGTGGTCAAACCACACCAACGCGGAGTGCTACCAACAGCAGCGGGAAAAGGAGAGAAAGCAGCGGCAGCAGCAGCGGCGGCAGCAGTCATCGCAGCAACAACAACAACAGCCGCCGCAGCAGCAACAACAACAGCCGCAGCAGCCTCAACAGCAGCATCCGCAGCAGTCTCAACAGCAGCATCCGCAGCAGCCTCAGCAACAGCAGTACTACCATCCTCGTCCCCAACAGCAGCAGCAGCAGCAGCAGCAGCAACAAGGCGGCCGCGGTGGGGGGGGCTGGCGTGGTGGACCCCAGCACGGACCTCATGGCGGACGCGGAGCGCAGCAAAGGTATGGAAACTCTGTCCCCCCTCGCCCGCAGCAGCAGCAATGGCGACCCTCGCACGGGCATGCAAACGTGATGCACCACGAACACGGTGCACCGCCCTACGGGGGGCCCTCAAATAGTAGCGAGTATGGGGGTTGGGAGCAGCCGCAGCCACAGTACCAGCAGCCTCCGCCTGACTACACCCAGCAGCAGCAGCCGTACTACCCGCCACCGACGCCTTACTACGAGCAGCAGCAGCCGCCGACACAGCCTCCGCCTCCGCCGACGTTCCAGCAGCAGCAGCACTCGACTCATGCCCCGCCCCACTCCTCTCCTCCCGGAGCAGCAGCACCGGCCCCGGGCTCCCTCCACTTCTTGATGGCACGTTTCGTGTCTGCAGGCGAGATTGTTCCGAGTGGTGTTGTAGCGAGTACCGAGCGTGAGAATGGTAATGGATTTGCTTTGTCTGCGCAGAACCCGCTTTCCCATTTTGGTAGAGAGAAGTTTTGGGCCGACAGCGGTGCCACGAACACCTTTGTTAGCAGTAGCCACCACATGTTCGATTTGAGGCCAGTGCCGACTGGTAAAGAGTACATACAGGTTGGAAACGGTGCTTATTTGCGCGTGCAGTGTGTGGGGAAGGTCAACATGGCCTTTCACATGCAAGACCAGTCAGGAGAGCATGATTTTTGCGTGCAGATGTCGGACGTGTACGTTGTGCCTGGAATCACCTTCAATCTTTTTTCGTTGCACCACACGCAGCGTAGGCAGCGTATCGTTCTAGACGAGACCGGCGTCCACCTATTCGATGGTAGGCTTTCCTTTGCATACTCTGACGTAGGATGCTCGCTCTGGGCTACTCGATTGCCCCAGGATTATACTGGTAGCGCTGTGACCTACAGCCCCGATGCCCCCCCCCGTGTTTCTGCCCAAGCGTCCCCGCCTGGCGTTGGCACAGGCCTTGTTGCGGCAAACCCCCCTTTCCCACAGAGTGCAGGAGCGGGCGCGACTTCGAGTGCGAGTGCGAGTACCGGCTTCCAGTCCGTCGCTGCGGTCGGCGTTGTACCTGCGAGTTCTGGCTTCCAGTCCGTCGCAACGGCCGGCGTTGTACCTTCGACTCCTGGTGTCCAGCCCACCGGCTCCGACGGTGTAGTACCTTCGACTCCCAGCGTCCCCTCCACCACTTCCGGTGTAGTGCTGCCGATTTGTGCTTTTCCGTCTGTCGAAGTAGACCCAATCCCCACGACGATCCCTGATTTTCAGCCTGTGATTACTGCTGCCGTAGAATCGTCTTCGATTGTGCCTCCCCCTGCCGTAGAGCTGACAGACTATCGCGAGATCGGGGTTTTTCATGTGGTGGCTACTGCTAACAAAGGTGTTCGTGGCACCGCTGTCGGCCCAAAACTTCTCTCTACCAAAATGGGAAAGCGGGTTCTGCGCAGACAAAGCAAATCCATTACCATTCTCACGCTCGGTACTCGCCCTCACCAACAACGTCGTGTGGGTCAACCGCCGGGCAGGAGCGCCGGCGCCGGTGCCGGCCATCGGGGGGGGTTCTTCGGTCACCGCGGCGCCCTCGCCGGCCGCCGCCGTACCTGCGGCCGATGCCGCACCGCCGCCGCCCCCGCGGACATGGACGTACTACCCCCCTGCACCAGCGACCACCGCAGCGCCGCCCCCTCCCCCGTCGATCTTCACAGGATCTTCAGCGCCGTCGCCGATCTCCGTCGCACCATCCTCAGCCCCGCCGTCGACCGCAGCCACTCCGCCCCGTTCGCCCCCGGGCCTACCGCCGCCGCCGCCGAAGCCCGCCAGCGCCGCCGTCCCCGCTCCTCCGCACCCGCCGCTTTCGAAACGAGCCGTCAAGGAGTTGGGACGAGAGGACACGAGGGTTCACGGCCGCACACGCGGCGATGGAGTGCGGTTCATGGATGAGCAACAAAAACCGCCGTCGCCACCCAGTGGCGGCACCGCTCTCCACCACCGCCTTGAGCTGTTGGACATGATGGACAAGGACACCCTCATCTCGTCGCTCGCCACCCGGGAGGCCGTGGATCAAGGACGCCGCGACCTACCGCCCCCGCCGCAGCCGGATCCGAGTCCTGGAGGCCGTGGAAGCGGGGGGGCTGTGGGAGCTGGGGGGCCCGTGGATTCCGGAGGGGGGGGGAGACCGCAGATGTTCGCAACGATGTTCGCCACCCGTGAGGATGTGGACGCCGCACTTCGTGCCGAGCGCCCGCCCGACAAGATGCCTGACCTTCCGCACTGCATGGCCAGCGACCTCCGCGAGCCGAAGACGTTCAACGAGGCCATGCGGTCTCAACATTCAGAGTTATGGAATGATGCAATCGGTCGAGAGTTTTTCGGTTTGTTGGATGCAGGAACTTTTAGTCCGGTGTAGCAACCAGTAGAGAACGCCATCAATGCTAAGTGGGTCTTCAACTGTAAGGCAGACGAGTACGGATGGCCGACGAAATTCAAGGCAAGACTTGTAGCGCGGGGGGACATGCAGAGGGCTTCGATTGATTTTGGAGAATTGTTTGCACCCACCGTATCAGTGTCTAGTGTGCGCTTGTTGGCAGCTTTAGCGTGTGAGCAGAATCTTGACTTGTGCCATTTCGACATTCAGCAGGCTTTTGTGCAGTCTGAGCTTGATGAGGATGTTTTCATGCGCTTACCGCAGGGGTGTGGTAGGTTATCTGGCTTGATCGTGAAGCTATGCAAGAGTCTGTATGGTTTGAAGCAGGCATCACGACATTGGCATTCGCACCTGACGAGGTGTTTGTTACTTTTAGGTTTTTTGCAGTGTCTGGCAGATGCGTGTGTTTTTCGATTGATGGAGGAGGGACGTGTGATCATGATCATCGTGGTCCACGTGGATGACATTTTTGCTGTAGGGCAGAAGGAGAGGTGTGACAAGTTTGGTGAGGACCTCAACGAGATGGTCCCCGTGAAAAACCTTGGAGAGTTGAGGTGGTACTCCGCGTGCTTTTACGAGAGAGACGTAGAGAGAGGGCTGTTGAGGATTTCGCAGCAGAGGTTTGCCGAAGAGTTGGCTGCAGAGTACGGAATTGAGTGGGGGAGGAGTGTGCCCTTGCCTGTGAGCGTGAAGCTCACCGACTTCGACGAGAACGAAGCGTGCGCTGATGTCCCTTTTCGCGAGTTGGTAGGATCTCTGATGTGGTTGGCCACTCAAACAAGGCCGGACATCGCGAACGCAGTACGAGCAGTAGCGCGGTATTGTGCATCTCCCAAGATGGTGCACTGGAAGGCAGCACTCGGTATTTTAGGGTACGTACGGAGGACGAGTTGGATGGGGATTACATTTGAGAGGGGAGTGGTGACTGGGATGAGCATGCAGGTGTTTGTGGATGCCGACTATGCAAGCAAGGCGACAGACCGTAGATCGGTGTCAGGAGGGCTAGTGATGTGTGGGGGAGGGTGTGTGACTTGGTTTTCGAGGACACAAAAGTGTGTCACGCTTTCCACCACGGAAGCAGAGTATGTGGCAATTGCCGATGTCTTGAAGGAAGTGTTGTTCCTGAGGCAGGTGTGGCGTTTTATGTTGCCAGATGCAGGTATGCCGTGCATCCCGGTGTTCGAGGATAATCAGGGAGCGATTCAGATTGCGCACAACCCGATCACGAACTCCAACTCGAAACACATCGATGTACGACATCACTTTATCAGGGAGCTGGTAGAGAGGAAGGAGATTTCAATTACTCATGTGCCGACGCAATTTCAGCATGCAGATTTCTTGACGAAGGCCATTAGCAAGGAGTCTTTTGCGTTGCACCGTGACTTTGTGATGAACTTGCAGTGAAGGAAGTGTTTTGGGGTCGATTCGTATTCTGTGATGGAGAGAGTGAGAGAGACGAGAGATTGGACAAGAGAAAAGAGAGAGTCTGGTGAAGGTTGGAGGAGTTGTTGTGTTTAGTTTTTCTTGATTGTTTTGGAGGAGTTTTGATTGTGTTTGATTTTTCTTGTGATGGACTTGGAGGATTTTGGATTGTTTTGGTGAAGATATTGGTTTTTGTTTGTTTTGGAGAGATGGTAAAGAGGAATTTGGTTTTTCTCGGAGCATGACGATGCATACGAGTAGGGGGGCTATTAGATATATTGGGAGTACTCGTAGCATAGTATGACGGTTGAGATGTCCGGTACGTACGTACGAAAATAACAGTGATGAGATGCGGAGGGATAGGAACTTTCTACATATATTCCTTGGTTGCGAGAGGTATTTGGTGGAGATTCAGAGAGATTCGTTGAGTGACAAAGAGTGAAGGCGTGCCCAGATACCGTGAAGGTTTGACGAGCACTGGCACGCCCCCGATGAATACAATACTTTCCAATACTTTTGCATTACGTTTTCAACACGTTTCCTACCCATCCACGCTCCGCCATGAGCCACCCGCTTTGAGCTCCAACCACAAAGAACCGAGCCACCCGAATTATCGATCAAGGCCAGCAGTCACGCGGTATTCCGAACGTCCTCAGGTCGTGGTACAGAAGGTGAAAATATTCACATTCAGGAGCGGATATTTTGTTTATATGTTCGACCGGTTGTGAAAGTCGAGTGGTTCAGCGGCCCGGGACCACGCACGGTGCAATGCACAAGTCGCGAGATCGATCCCGGCGCGGAACTTCTTTTGTTTCTCGTAATTGTCGGCGGTGGTGGTGGTGGCAGCAGCACTCCTTGCATGTGGGGCGTACGCCTTGTAGCAGCACACACGGCCGCAGCAAGACCGGTGGCACCCGGATGTCCTTTACCTTAGGAATCAAACGCGACAGAACGAAAAATGTGCGCAATCATGGTCAGCCTTGCTTTCTGCGTTCCCCTCTCTCGGTCTCTCGGTCTCGTCGGCGGCAAAAGAACGAAATTACGGCAAACCTGTGTCAGTTGTAGCTCTACACCCGCAGGCAGGCGTCGTTTTTTCAGGCCAGCGTGTGCGATTGCTTCCTCCGCCAAGTTGGAGATGGTCCCTGATGGTCTACAAGCGGGACCCGGTGGGATTTCATCGCCATCTGCAAGCCTCGCTCTCGCGCCCACAACAGGACATGAGGAAACGAAGACAACGACCTGTGCCGTTGGAAATATATATGACACCGTGAGAAGAGGTGGGCCTTCTGTGTGCGCCTGCCCCCCCCCCCCACCCCGTAGATCAACTGGATTGGTGTTTGCATATGCGTGTAAGACATAGGTTTGGATAGGCATACACGAGATGCCTGTTGCCTTCGAGGGGGCTCAACGCATCCAAAAGATGTTATATTCCTGCACACAGAGAAAATATGACAAATCCCCGAAGGCAACCTCCACCTTTCTTTGGGGAATCACTAATAAGCCGTGCGCAATAAACCTAAATACATTCCGTTAAACAAATACCAATGCGCCTCCGTATTCCGTAAGTCAAGAAACTACGATCCTGTCCGCCAAATCTGGACTAACTGGTTCACCCCGCGGGCCATTCAGCTTTAGATCTTACTGAGTTGTAGTTTGCCAAAAATACGTCGAATAGGCTGTCCACTGCAGTGCTCCCCTGCTGCTCGCGCACGTTGTACCGCGAGACCAACTGAAAGAGCGTCGTCGAGTAGGCGCGCCCGTTCCCCTTCGACACACTCCTGTGGACGCATGCATACAGCTCTTTCCAGAAACAAACACCATTTGAAAATGAACGTGAACAAAAAATTAACGCCAAATCCGTTGACACCCGAACGTTTGACTCCAGCACGGGCCAACCGCGATCTACTAGTTCTTGACAGGGATGCTAACAGCGCAACGCCACCAAGCCTTGTAGCACTCCGCGACCACCGAATGAGCTTCGTCATTCGAAATAGACGCGTACGTTTCCCCTCGATACACACCCCTGTCGACGTACGAATACAACTCCTCCCGAAACGGCCGAAATCCTTCGCCACCCAGTCGATCGACTCAACCGCGCAAGCACGGTACAAGCAGCAACACACTAGCACTGACAGGGCCGCTAAGCAGGCTACACTAGCCCTGCCAAATCTTGTCGAACTCTGCCACCACCGCAGCAGCGTGTTCGTGTCTGTTTTGCTTGGGGACCGTTGGAGTGTACCGGCTCTCTCGGAGCCACAGCTGCGCGATCCACTTGTCCTGTTCCGCCCCCGGTCTAACCACCTGCCGAGCACGTTCGAAGGGAAAACATGCTGTCATTGATGGCATGAGCGAGGCTCACAGCTTTCCCCTCACCGTTGTTGGACCAGAGCTATACGCACTGCGTCTTCAACTCCACATTCTACCTTTTAAAGATTCGTGATTCCTCCGTGAAAATCCGCGAATCCTACCAACTCGAAAACGGGAGAGCAGCGGGGTCTGCTGCACTTTCATTGGCTGCTTCAGCAACCGCTGTGCACCTCCTTCCTGGTCTGGACGCGACCACCACATACATTGTGCATACACAGGGTCGTACACCCAACCTCAACATAAACTGTAAGCGGGGTTACATGCGCTATATCAAGTTACCCCTTACCTCCCCAGCGTGTAGCGTTCGGATGTCGAAAGGGCAGTCCGGGGCACCCCCCAAGGACGGGAAGAACAGCAGAGCGGACCCCTGAAGGGGTGGAGCAGGAAGCCAGCCAAGTGAGGGCGGTTTTGGGTCGGTCAGGTCGACGTAGACGGGAACGCAAAGGAGAGCGCTGATCGGAGGGAGTGATGGTTTGGTCAAAAACATCGGCGTCGGGGGACAGAGCGACTTCTTGGGGAGTTAGTTTGACCAATGAGGGTGTTGCTGAATATCTATATAAACGAGGCCCTTCACCCCGCAGGCGTGATACTTGAAGCGTTCCCACTGATTGGTCGCCTGGCTCGCTGGTTTCATAATTTGCACTACGCAGCACACCCGCAGACAAGACACGTCGCACTTACAAAGCCATGCCACGATACACTCTTGGCAAGGTGCCGGGTCCAATACAAGGGAATCGGCCCTTAACATAGACACAGAAGTGGAGGGCGCGGGTGCTCTTTCACCTCCGTCAGGTTTCGAAAGGCCAGAGTGAGCACGCCATGCGGAGCATCCAGCGGCCCCCTCATATCACCTGGTACCACAAACCGAGACACTCCTAAGATCGATGCCACCACCCAAACACACCACCACCACCACCACCACCACCGCACACGCCGACCAACCTTACGGGGACGAACACGAAGAGGCCCCAGGTCTCGAAACGCCGTCGCCCCGCCGTCCCCCTCGGGCATCTCCGTGAGATACACCAGCAGGGTGGCGATCCTCTGCCCCCCCCTGGAGGCCAGGTCGGGGGCCGGTGGCAGCGCGTCCAAGTGCCAGGTGAACTTCTCCCCCGGGCGATACCGCACCTTGAGGGAGGCGGGTTGTTGTTACCGAGGGCGTTCCACGGAACGTACTGTACGGGTTAAAACCGTGTCAGGTCAAGACGGGTCAGGTCCGTTCGACCCGGCTGAACCCGTGCATCAGAGACCGCACGAATCCGCGAGGTTTGGTTCGGCAGCATAGATAGGTGACGGACAGACCCTGACCTGGTGACCCACCAAACATTTCATCCTTGCCGACCTGAACGGACGTACGTAGCCCGTTCCAAACGAAACACAAATTCTGCCGAAAGAACCTGAAGAAAACACGGAACGGCGAAAAGAAAACCGGCCCTTTTCCGCTTGTCCTGATCATGATGTCATGGGCAAGAAACCGTTTTTTCCTTTGCAGAAACACGCTTTGCTCGACATAAAAACAGGTTGACTTGGTCTTACTCACCGTCTCACCATAGAGCAGCGGTTAAATCACAAAGAGCACACTTTTATATAAAGACCCCGTCCACCCGGCCTGCTGCTTTCAGCAACAGGCGCAGGGCAGAGTGTGGCAACCTGGGTGTTGCTTGCGATTTCTTCACTTTGCCGGCTCATTTTTCACCGTTGCGACCCCCTTCTTTGACCACCACCTGTCGAAAGTTAGACGAGCTCAACATCATAGATATGACCAATCCGAAAGAATTAGCGTGTCGGAGGCCCTGTTGCTCTACTGCTGCGTGGTGCCGTGGATTTGCGTTGCTGTCCCCGACCACAAACAGGCCACCCTCATATTGCATATTTTCAAACGGCAGTTTCACGAGGTGGCACACATCTCTCACACACACCATATTGAGCAGCACCCGACCCCCAATACCCACGAAGCAGCACAGTGCCGGGGGTGAGTACCATACAGACAGCCGAGCCGAAGAAATCAGCGCGTTGGAGGCCTTGGTACTGCTGCTGTACTCATTCTACGGTTTCTGAGTTTGTCATGTGTGATTGAGAAAGAACCCCAGGCATCAACAACAGCAGTTGAAGGCGAGGGGACCATGCAGTGTCTCGGGTTGGACCGACAACGGACCGAACTCAGCTTCCCCCGCTTGTCTATCCCCACAATTGACCTGTAAGTGCGTCTGGCAGGTCTTGCAAGCGTTCTCAGTGATGTTACACCGCCCGCGGTGGGCCTGCCCGATCCTTCTGTCAAATACCCGATCGGTGAATGCAGCAGCCCCCACCAAAAAGCTGCTCGCTATTTTCACGGATCGGGGAGAACGCCTCCATCTGTTTGCACGGAAAACCGGAAACGGTTATTCTTCCGTGAATTACTTTCATCGATTGGAACAGGCCTTAACCCGAGCTTCAGCCCTCCTTGACCCGGCGAAACCGAAGTTGTGAGTGATTCGCCAGCCACGAGTCAGACATTACTCGACCCGTGGGGAAATCCCGGGCATTACCGCATACCGTCCCGTATTTGACCGTCCGTAAAACCGATGGGTCACCCGCCCACTCGGTTCGGCGTATACATCAAGGACCACATCATCCACACTGGCAGTTTCACTCCATCTTGAAGAGGGGTTTCGAGCCACGTTTCGAAAGAGCACGTGACGGCAGCATCGTGACCGCGTGCCATTGGAGTCAAAACGAAAACTCAACATTTCATGAGAGCAAGCCGCCATCCTTACCGTCTGCGCCTCTTCCCATCGCCCCTCTTCGAATGGAACTCCCACCAGGGCGGAGGCCTTCGCCATCAGCTCCGGTACCGCCGAAAACCGGTGGAACCAAGTGGTGGACGTTCGCTGTTGGCGAACGCGATGGATTGAAGGGGGGGGGGGGGCAGGGGTACTCATGTCGTACTCGCTAGACCATTGACCTCGCATCCCTACAAAGCCGGGACAGATTGAAGGGGTGGGGGTGCGGGGTGTATTCGCTCACAACTTACTTCTGCAAGGTGTTGGACCGCCGTGCATGCACAGTCTGACACAAGGTGACATACCGCCCTCGTAGCATAGCCGATGCTGCCAACAAGAACCTTGATGTTACAGTACCGTGAAGAACACAAATTTGGTGCCCACAGCCGTACATGAGCAACTGAGCGGCGCAATGCGAACGGTGCCCGAACCAGCCTAAGAGCGATATCCGGCTGGCTGCGGCAAGAGACGGTCTATTCCAAACGTGGCTAAGGATTTTCTCAACGCAGCTGTAATCCATGATTACGTTTGCATATGGAGGATACACACCTCGCGTCTCATGCTAAGCGAAATATTATCCAGCGCACGAAAACCTCACGTTGTATACCGTTCCAAGCCTCTCTCACAGCCAGGAGAGGTTGGCTCGTCCTTACCTGAGCCACGGCGTCCACGTCGGCACCCAGCGTGGCGCTCCGCTGCATGTGCGGCCCGCTCCCCGTCGCCGCCGCAGCAGCCCCCGCCCCCGCCCCCGACGTTACGGCAGCCGGCGGCGGCGGCGAAACGGACCTGGAGATGTACTCGTCGCACTCCTCGTCGGTGAAGAAGTCGCTGACGCCGATGACGGGCGGCTCAGCGTGCAGGAGGCGGAGGCCTGGGAACAGCAGCCGGCTTTTTGCGGCGGTGCCGTCGCCGCCTTCCTTCTTCTCCCCGCCGCCCGCCGCCGCCGCCGCCGCCGCCGGTCCCCCTGAAGAAGAGGAGGACCCCATCAGAGCCGCATCACCGGCTTCGCCGTCCGCGCCGTAGTACTCGGGGTCGAGGAGCCGCCGGCCGCCCGCGAACTCCTGGAGGCCGTGCCGCCCTCGGATGCACTCGAGGACCTGCGGCGGCAAGGCTTCCTGCTGGCCCCGCTCGCTGGCCGGGATGCCGCCGGCGGGCAGGTCGAAGACGTCGACCCCCATGATGGACTTGAGGGTGTCCGGGGAGAGGGGCGGGAACGTGGCGAAGTCGTCGTCGGGGAGCTGCCCGCCCCGCGCTGCTGCCGCTGCTGGAGCAGCAGCAGGGCGCGCTGTTGGTTGTCGCTCCGGTTGCTGCTGCTGCTGCTGCTGCTGCTGCTGTGGTTCGCCGGTCTTCGCTGCCGCTGCTGTTGTTGTCGTGGCGGAGGCACTGCCGAATCCACCACCTCCGCTACTACGGCCGCCGCTGCTAGCTTTCTTTTTCTTCGCTCTCTTGGTCTTGCTCTTAGAAGCAGCCAGCGCCGTAGGAACGGGTCGGGAACGGCGGCCGCTCAACCTACTGATGCTGCTGCTGCTGCGGCGGCGGCTTGGCTGGAAGCACCAAGAAGTTGCAGTACCGCCAACAGACCACGGGGCGGCGCCAACTCCGCCGGTTCGCGCGCTGGCGCCGCTCTCTGGCGGACGTGGTGACATGACGGCGAATGCAACCGAGAGAGGACTGGGGCGTTGGTGCCGATGCTGTGTGCCTGACGGCTCATGATGTTTCATGAAACATGATGCTCGATGTTGCTGTGCCGAGCGTTGTCGGCGAGGTTCAGCTGTCCTGGTCGGGTGCGACGGCCCTACCGCCATCGCGGCCACCATCCCGCACAAGAGCATGGATCGGGTGGGAGAGGGCGCTGAGAGCGGCATGGCAATCACACGCCTATGATGGGTAGGGTAAAAAGGCAGAGCAGAGAAAGCTTCCCACTGCTGTGCTGCTGTGCGCTGGCTGCGCGTGTTGCATGTTGCAACGTTGACTTTTGGGGCCCCACAAGCTGGACTTTATGGAAATACCTCCCACTATATTGCCATCTGTGTACCCCCCGGCAGTCGCTGCCGCGCTGCTGACGGCAACCAAGGACACACAACAGCGGCTAGAGAGGGAGAGCGCGAAGCAAAGGGGAGAAAGCGGGAGAGAAGAATACATGAAAGTATAAGATCCTTCGACAGCAGCTTGGTGTTGATCTGAATCTATCCACAGGGGGAGGAAGCCGTGGGAGGGAAGGGAGGTCTTGTTGAGTGGATTTCCCTGGGGCTAACAACAACAGCAGCAGCGGCGAGCGCGATGGATCGCAAGCGCAAGGTCGACATCACGGGGCTGGGGTAAGTGCCGAGTTATGCGTGGGACTTGCTCTTGGGTCTATTGGAAGCTTGATGCGGGTGGAGATTTATTCGACTTGTGGAGGGCACGTCGGCTCACACCTGCACACACCACATCACATCATCACCTGCGCACAATCCCCAACAGCAGCAGCATCACCTGCCGCGTGTGCTATGAAAGGTTGCACTCAACAACGTCTTCCATGCAAAACCACCGTCACTTGCTTATGCTGTATGGTTTTTATTTAGACCCCCGGAAAAGGCGTTGCATTGTTATTGTCCTTCACGAGCGGGACACCGCGGTGCAGAGACCGCATACCAGGTTGTGTTGTTACATGTATGTACTGAGAGGGAAAAACAGATGAAGGGAGAGAGCAGCCGCGTGCGTGAGAAGACAAGATCAAATGCTCACACAGCAGTGGTAGCAACTTCCTCTTTGTTGGAAAACAGGCTGAAAAGGGATTACACCAAATTCGTTCTCGTCGTTTCATGCACGCGCGCCCTCCTCTTATTATATTGCAAGCAAGTCGATAGTGTGCACGCGCGGGGCTAGGGGCAAGCCTTTGTCGTCGCCTCCTGTATCCATCCCTCTTACACAGCAGTAGATCGTCGCCCACACACCCTACGGGAGGTTGTAGACACAACAGTAGTGTGCCTGGTGACCGACGGTGACGCGGGCTTGTCGAGTTACCCTGGCTTGGGGTACCCGAGTTTGGAAACTGCCGGCCACAGGACGGTTGTGATAAGCGCCCGCAAGCGCTGAGTTGATCCCCACTCGCCACGCAGAGTTTGGGAGGTTGGCGCGCGAAACGAGCTTGGAGCATCTGAACACTTCCCACCAATAGCGTTCGACTAGCCGCCCGATAAATGAACAGTGCTCCTCCTAGCCTGCAAAGCTTAGCTTGTCTTCATCCCTACACCCACACGGCGACCCCCCTAGGTAGGGGTCTTAAATTCAACCCTTGACCCCGAAATCTAACCTAACTAACTCGAAAGACTCGAGGCGATTGTTTCCCAAGGCCAACCCTTTAACCCATAACTCAACTCGAAACACTCATAACGAATGTTAATGTTGGGTTGAGCCGACTGGTCTCTCTGGTTCTATTCGAAGGAGCCGAAGGAGCCGAAGGAGCCGATGTATCACGTAACGGTATCTCACGCCGACCTGCGCGCTTGCTTCCCCCCTCGTGCCCGTTGGAACTCCCTCCCTTGTTGCCTGCTGCACTGCTGTGCTGGGCCACTGCTGCGGCTGCTGCTGCTGCTGCTGCTCCTGCTGCTGCTGCTGTTTTGGCTGCAGGTCGACCAGCACCCCGGCGGAGGATGCTGCCAAGAAGCGAAATATGGGTATCAACCCCTTCACTGGAGCGTGAGTGATTATTATTATTTCTTTTCGCGGCTGCCGAACCAACCCAAGTATCGGATGTCGTACTGTAGCTCGTTGCACGGGAGTCCTTTTTCTGCTGCTGCTGCTGCAAGTCTGAAGAACCCTTCTTTTTGCGTTTCAGAACGAAAACAGTAAGCAGACGAGGGTTGTTGTGATGTATTGACACGGACTTGGGAACGGCTCTCATGTTTTCGAGAGAGACAGCCCTACTGTGAAGGGTTCGTAAAACCTGCAATGTGTAGGAGGGAAAGAATGGAATGATGGAATGACCCGCACCAATTGTGTGGGGGGTACCGTACAAGCGTTTGGACCAAAGGCGTTTGTGCACACCCAAAACAGCACTGCAAACCCGGCATGAGTGTAACCGGGGGCAGTTAATTGATTGAGATGTGTTTCCGTGGCACACACAGCACAGGCACAGCACCCGCTGCTGTGCGAGGTCGGCTGCCTGTGTGTCTACGTTTTTTGTCTTCTCCCCGCCTCCCACGCTCTTTCTCTGCCAGGAAAGTGTGCTGCGGCCCGTTGTATCAAGGTACCGTAAGGTTGCGAGTCAGCGCACAGCTGTGCGAGCGATTTTCACCGCGTTATTTCTCCACAACCAGGAGGTTACCACTGTCGAAAAGGGCGGTTTTGGAAATATCTCATCGAGAGCTTTCCTGAGAAGTATCAGTTGGCGCTTTACACCCTTGGTTGTGGAGAAATTACGCTTTGAAAATCGATCGCACCCCTTTTCGCTGACTCGCAACCTTACGGTACTTGGTTTTTGCGTCAAGAAGCACCGTGGTATTTTCCGCTAGGGGCACCAGGGTGTAGCCTTAAATGTGCACCATCGTATGTCGTGAACAGTCACCGAGTTCTCCTCGGCAAGCGATGGCGCCAAGAAGAGACGCTTCCACCGAGAATCAGGCGTGCCTGTCAATCAAGTCACTCATGGCCCGCTCCCCGTCCATTCCCGCGAACTCTCAACCGTATCCCGCCCCCTGATTCTTTCCTCCGCGGGTTCCCTTTTTCCCGCCATTCGTCGGCTGCAGGCCGTACTCGCGCAAGTACTACGATATCCTGGAGAAGAGAAAGAAGCTGCCGGTGCACCAGTTCTTGGATGACCTGATGGACAAGGTGCTTTGCTTCGAGACCATTGCAATTTTGCTTTGTCGTCGTCGTCGGTTTTGTTGTCGTTTGATATGGTTCGAAGCCCTTGCGTCTGTGCCGTTTTTTTATTGAAGAGCTTGCGCTTCGCGTTGGTGGTCTCGCTCGCTCGATGCTCTGCGGTGACTGTGGAATGCCCCGTTGCCACGTCCTACGACTGTGTGTCTTCTAGTTTTGGTTCCACGGGAGTAAGGGGTGGGAAGCTACAGTTTACCTGTCCCGCTTTCCCCCCATAGAATCGGTCATCCCTCGTCCGTAAGTAAAGACAGTTTTGATGGTAGTAGTAGTTGCCGAAGCACGCCACGGAACGCTGTGCCTGCATCGGCCTTTCATCACGGCAACGCTTTGCTTCGCCCCCCGTCTTTAGCAGCCTCTCAATATTCTCCTGTCACCCAAAAGCACAACCGACTCCCGCCGTCTCTAGCAGCCTTTTGGTCGCGTTTCGCTCTGAGCTGCTGCCTGCTGCTAACACGTTGTGCCTGTTCGCCTGTTGACCTTTTAGGGCTACCCATTCCCTCCATCTCTCGCGGCGATTTCAATCGCGTTTCGCTCTAAGCTGTTGCCGCCTGCCGCTAACACGCTGCACCATGCTCCCATGCCCGTCAGGTTAAGAACAACCAGACCGTGGTGGTGGAGGGAGAGACCGGTTCGGGGAAGACTACCCAGATCCCGCAGTTCCTCGTGGAGGCGGGCTATGGCGCCATTGGGGAAGGCTGGTGAGTCGGACATCTCCGCGGCATTCGTCGTCGTAGTTGAACGGCCCCCGCCGTCGCCGTTGCTGTTGTCGTCGTCGCGAATTGTTATTTCGTTGTCGTAGTTGTTGAAATGCCTCCGCCGCCACCGTCATCGCTGTTGTCGTCATGGCCGTGAATTGCTGGGTGTTTCAATATCCTTTTTTTTTTAGCTCTTGCGTTATACTGACTGCTGTTAATTCCTCCAACTAGTCTTCTTTGTGAGAATATCGGTGCTTCTGTTCGCACAACCCCCGGTTATGACTCGACCAACATGAAGATATGTTTGTGCCACAACTCTGCTAACCAACGCCCCCACGCCCCCTCCGTTTGTCGAAACCCCAATTGCAGCGTGGCGTGTACGCAGCCGCGGCGAGTGGCGGCGATGAGCATCGCCAACCGTGTGTCGGACGAGATGGACGTGAACCTGGGGGATATCGTGGGGTACTCGATTCGTTTCGAGATCAAGAACGGTCCTCGGACCATTCTCAAGTGAGCAATCTCTAGACAACGGCAGCGAAGAGACGGGCTCCACGCTAGAGGAGTAAACCCCGGAAATTGTCACGAGTTTGGTACCGCGAAAACGTTTACAAGGAGGTACAAGTAGGGGGGCAGAGCACCAGTTTGTTGTGGGAAAGTATAGTTGTGCATGGAAGCCAGTACTTGCGAGTCCGGCCGTGAGACTGCTGAATTTTTCGTTCTCGATTGAGTGTTGCAAATTTGGACTCGGAGAGTTTGACGAGGGGGAAGAACTGCTGAACCTCTTTTTGTCTCTCTCGCGATTACAGCAGTTGAAGCAAAGCCCCCTACAAGAAATCCTGTTTGCGTCACCTGGTACATGTCTCAAGTTGTCGGGCACGCCGTAGGCCAAGCGGTGGATAAGATAACGATAGATGTCAACGAAACGATACAGTTGTGTGGTCCGAGTCGTTGTCTGTGGTGCCCTGTCTATGCTCCGGTCCACGACGCCATGCACAAGGCTGTCCGCCAATCACGTCATGGCCGGTGACGTGCTTGTCCAACCCCCTCGAGACCGCAGTGTTTCCCCCCCGGCATTGTAGGGATGCGAGGTTAACGGTCGAACGACTTTTACGGGATGCGTTTACATGAGCACGCCCCTCTCCGCCTAACCCCCCACCCCCCATCCCCTCTTCTCCTTCGACGTGCACGATCATTTCTTGTTGCTGTTGGCAGTTTCATGACGGACGGTATGCTCCTTCGCGAGGCGATGAACGACCCTTTCCTGGCCAAGTACAAGTGCATCGTGCTTGACGAGGCCCACGAGAGGACGCTGGCCACGGACGTGCTCATGGGACTCATCAAGGCAAGAGCAAGACGTCGTCGTCGTCGTTGTCGATGTTTTCGTTGTTGCCCTAGTTGTGGGTGTTGTTGTTGTTCGGGGGGGGCTCCAAGGTGTTGGGGGGGGGAGTGTTTGTGGGGTGTGGGGCGGTTGTGGACATGGTCGTGTACGTGGCTGCAGCTCTCGTGCTTACTGCCGCCGTCGCTGTCGTTGCTGCTGTTGTTGCTGCTGCTGCTGTTGTTGCTGCGTGTTGGTTGGCGTTGTACACATGGCTGCAGCTCTTTTTTGGACCGCCGCTGTCTCTGTTGTTGGCAGCGTTGGCGTTGTCTCTTCCGCCGTCGCTAGCGTTGTTTTTGGTACATTTTTTTTCGTCGTTGTCCAAGCGCCAACAACACCTTTGGTGACATATGTGTGCATCCCTCTAAAAGCCCCCCTAATCGCCCAAACTACACTCTCTGACCCCTTCCCCCTGCAGGAGGTGCTCAAGAACCGCCCCGACATGCGGGTGGTGGTGATGAGCGCGACACTCGACGCCGAAAAGTTCCAGAAGTACTTCGACAACGCTCCCTTGCTCAAGGTGCCCGGCCGTACCTTCCCCGTGGAGATCTTCTACACCCCAACCCCGGAGAGGGACTACGTCGAGGCTGCCGTAAGAACGGTCGTGCAGATACACAAGGTGAGATAGATGGGCAGGTAGGTGTGCGTGTTGGGTGGTGCCGTGTGTTTGGTGCGGCGCGATGATCTGGGGCGGTGGCGGCGGCGGCGGCGGCGGCGCGTGCTGTGGTGCAGACATGTTTTGTGTTTGTGTGCGTGGTTTGTGGTACTAGGCTGGCGCGTTGGGCTGCCGTTCGAATGGCGGCGTGAGGCAGCAGTCTTCCGTGAGCTGAGTTCAATCCCGACTCGGGGCCACCGCTGTTTGTTCGCTCTGTACCAAACCTACCAAACAACCGAAGTGTTATTGTTGTTGGTCAATGAAGGTTCTGTTGCCTTCTACTGCCACCAGCTACATGGCGGTGGCCGTCAGCGTACACGTGAAGAACCGATATTTTTCGTTTCTCTCACCCATGGCAACGGTGGTACTCTCAAGCGTCATCAGTGCTCGTGCTGCCCGGGTGAAGTACGAGCCGTGTGGACCCGTTTTGGTCACAAGACACTTCGTTCAACCTACCTTGCTTAACGTTTCTTGTGCTGTGGCTCACTCCTCGCCCGTGCACCCCCCCCCCCCCTGCCCTCCCGGAACGTTTGTATCCGTGAACTCGTTGCTTTACTACATGATAGTGCGAGGATCCTGGAGACGTGCTTCTGTTCTTGACCGGTGAGGTGGAGATTGAGGATGCTTGCCGCGCCATCAGGGCGGAGGTGGAGAAATCGCAGGACCCTACCAAGGTACGTGATGCCCTCCACGGCAAGTAGTCTATCTCGTTCAATGCATCTTGCTTCACCTTCGGATATTTGTGAGAGTAGAGGGTGAGAGTAGAATGTTCAAGGTCGTAGCATTGCTCAATTTTCTGAAGAACACTCTCTCTGCTGGTGTACAAGTCCATCGTGGCTTGTGCCTCGTTGTGATCGGGTCGTCTGTCTTGGAACGTCATGGGGAGCATAATTAAACTTGTGGTATCTTGATGGTTTTGATGTCGTACTGTACGGTGACGGCCGGTGGGGGTGATGGAAATGCGATCAGATGCCATATTTCGTACCCGTGGTAATAGTGGGCCTGCATCCCTAAGCACACAGCAGCTCTACGTACGGGCACGGCTTTGCGAATGGGGCTCGGCTTCAATTGCATGCTAGCAACTGGCACATTGCCAGATTTTACCATCTCGCCAACATACAGGAGGCGCCCACAAAGGGAACCTCCATGGGCACTTCGTTGACCCCCCCCCCCCGTTGTCACCCTGTTCCGTGTCTACAACCGGTCTTGTGCTCCCCCCGGTCCACGGTAGGAAGGGGAGCTGGCGGTATACCCGCTGTACTCGTCGTTGCCGCCGGCGGCGCAGCAGAAGATATTCCGAGAGGCGCCGGGTCCCAAGTTTCCGGGGGGCCCCGTGGGGAGAAAGGTGGTGGTGTCGACCAACGTGGCCGAGACGTCGCTGACCATCGACGGCATCGTCTACGTGGTGGACCCTGGGTTTTCCAAGCAGAAGGTGGGGTGTTTTTGCTCGAGGGACGTGCGGGGGGGGCGGAGGTGGGCGTACTCTCATGTTTTGCGTGCCTAGTGTAGCGGTTAGGCTATTGGCCACGCGTCGTCGAGAGGACGGAGCAAACAAGCAGAAGGTGGATGCTTTGGCGTGGATGTCACTCATAAGTCATGCATGCCGTGTTCGTTATTGACAATTAACCTCGCACCCCTAAGAAAATGCGGTAACCTGGTTTGTCGAGCTCAGGAAGCGATTGGTGTGTTTTTCAACGTTGTAAGTCACGAAGAACCACGAGGGAGGGGTTATCTTGGACTGTTCTCCCTCCTGCTGTGTTGAACCAGCTTGCTCCGATGGCGCATGCGGGTGTGCGGAGAAGTTGGCACAACGATAAGCGTTGTCAGGGTCGAACTAGGCTCCCTTTTTCCTTGCGTAACTCGCCCCGGGTACTTGCGCTTCAGTGGTAATACCCTGCCCCCCCCCCCTCCCGATCCCTCTCAACCTTCCCGAAAGCAACGTGAGTTGGGACCGGGTTTGTCCCGCTGCATGCGCATCCCCGGGCTTTGCATGCTGGCAGCACCTGTGAAACTGCTTTCACCGTAGCAGAGCGCGTTGCTTTGTGTGCTTTGTGTGGCTCTGTTCTTTTGTTGTGTTGAGGTTTAAACAATGGGCTGCACGGCAAACTGAGATGTCGCCTTTTTTTTCACCTGTGGATTTTCCCTCCCTCATAGCGCGCTTGTATATCCACGAACCACTCTGATGCTTGCAAAAAAATTCAGGACATACGTGCACTTGATTCTCTCTGTTTTTCGACACGACGCCCCTCTCCATCTGCATCAGATCAGACTCGTGTCCACAGACCCGCATGCGTATCCATCGCATACAACAACCAATACCTCTTGTTCTTTTTTTTGTTTTCCGTCTCGTTTTTTTTGTTGTCTGTTTTTTTTTGTTGTCCCGTTTCTTTTCTTCAGGTGTACAACCCCCGCATCCGCGTGGAGTCTCTGCTGGTCAGCCCCATCTCGAGGGCCAGCGCGCAGCAGCGTAGCGGTCGTGCGGGTCGTACCCGTCCCGGGAAGTGCTTCCGGCTCTACACGGAACAGTCGTTCAAGGAGGAGCTGCTGGAGCAGACGTACCCGGAGATCCTCCGGTCTAAGATGAGCAACACGGTACGAGGACCTAAATATCGTCCCTCCATTATTTGTGTGTATGTTTGTGTGTGTGTTTTGTGTTCTTTTTCTTTCTATGATAGTGTACACGCAGCTTTTTTCTGTTGTTTTGTCAGTTGTTGGTGCGTGTCTCTTGTCTGTCCTGAGGGTGGCCAGGCGCCGGAGGGGCTGCGTCCCCTCCCGACGCGGCGGCTGCTGCTGCTGACACCATGGCCTTCCCGTCCACCGTCGTGGCGCTTTTTTCTGAAATGCTCCTTGTTTTCGATTCAATTCATCAGCATTTTATCATTTTCGCTTGCCGATGCCATTTTCCTCCTCTAAAGTACTCGCTGACCTCGCTCGGTGTTTTTTCTTCTTGTCTTTCTATGGCGACGATGGCGTCTTTTTCTAATGGTGTTGTTGACACTGTTTGCTTGTAGTTCAATACGCGCGCTGACCATTTCGATGTTTTTTTTTTTTTTCTCTGTTATGCTGTAGGTGCTGACCTTGCTCAAGCTCGGGGTGGAAGACTTGGTTCACTTTGACTTCATGGACCCCCCGGCCCCCGAGACGCTGATGCGAGCACTGGAACTCCTCAACTATCTGGGTGCTCTCGACGATGAGGGCTCGCTGACGGTGAGAATAACGAAAGAGGGTGGGAGGTTGGGACGGTAATGCGCTGGGTCTCTCGAGTTTGTTGTTGTTGTTGTTGTTGTTGTTGTTGTTGTTTCAGGTTGCTGTATGTGACGGACCGATTCGAACGAACAGGGGTTCGCTGGTTTTCCTCTTGATGCCCCCGTTCCCCGCATCATCCCTCACGGGATCTAGCGGAGGCGTGAGGCGTCTGTTCATAGAAGGTTCACGAGTTTCGCATCTCGAGAGACGCAGGCCACTGGCAGGTTCTCTTCAGTTCTTGGGTGCAAGCCACGTGTTTTCAAAGCGTTACAAAAATCCCACAACTATGTGGCGTGTTCTCAAAGCATTGCAAGTCACACAACGACATGACGTGTTCTCACAGCATTTACAGGTCACACAGCGATATGACGTGTTCTCAAAGTATTAAGAGATCACACAACGATAAGGTGTGTTCTCAATGCATTATTATTCACAGCAAGTCACACAACGATATGACGTGTTCTAAAAGCATCAACAAGTCACAGAGCGATAATATGATATCTTATCGCGTTTTTCGCGTTTCAGGACCTCGGCAACAAGATGAGCGAGCTCCCGCTTGACCCTCAGCTGGCTAAGGTGCTGCTGGCATCTCCGGACTACGGGTGCTCGAACGAGGTCCTGTCGATCGTGGCGATGCTCTCCGTGCCACAGGTGAACGAACGAGACTGTCGAAATGCGGTGGAATTATTGGAACGCGGCGGAACGCGGCGGAACTTTGGTGTGGTGGTGTGACTCGAGCACCTTGAGCATCGGTACGGCTTGGATGTGAGGTGTGATTTGAGTCTACTGCTGCGGTGCGGTTTCGTGGTGCTTCGCAACTTTCGATCCATAGCATGATGGGGGAGGACCCCCTGACTGATTCAGGTGAAACCCGAGGATATGTACGACGGGCAGATATACCTGGCATATTTCGAAACAGAATCACTTGCCCCTCCCCCCCTAATGCCGTACGTCTTGCGGCGTCCCCAAAACTGAGAAAAAATAAGAACAACCGAAAAACCGAAGCACACACGAAAAATACAGTTTTGCGTTTGTCTTTTCAGGTCGTTGGCGGTGGAAACTGTTCGGGGAGATGTCCGTCTGTTGAGAGCAACTTTCGACCGCTTCTCACCTACACAGACAGACTGAAAAATGATTTGATTGTTTGTTGTAAATTTCTGTTTTTATTCTTGTTATTTTATTGTCCCTCCCCACGAAAGGTGTTCATGAGGCCGAAGGAGGCACAGAAAGCGGCGGACGAGGCTAAGGCGGAGTTCGCGCACATCGACGGGGACCACCTGACTCTCCTCAACGCCTACCACGCCTACAAGCAGAACGGGGGGTCCAAAGACTGGTGCTTTTCCAACTTCATCAACTCTAGGTGAGGACGGGGCGGAGGAGACATGGGCCGAGTGTTTCAACTAACACGTCTGCATGATGCCTGAGATATGTTGTTGTTGCAGCTGTAAACTTCGTAGGGGGGCTCAAAGGACGGGCGCTTTTCCGACTTCATGAACTCTAGGTGCGGGTGAAGGGGGGGAGACGTGGTCAAGTCTCTCACGAACGCGTCTGTATGACGGTTCCGATATGTCGTTGTTGTTGTTGTTGTTGTTGTTGTTGTTGTTGTTGTTGTTGTTGATGTAAAGCTTTTTTTTGGTAGACACGCATCTCCGTGTACTGGTACTGATACAAGTTTTTTTTTTTTGGCAAGTTGCATCATCTCCATTGCGACAGTGATTCACGATCCACACGTGTTGCCTTGTCGCGCTGGCGTCAGGTCGATGGTGTCAGCGGAGAACGTCCGGGAGCAGCTTGGCAGGTTGATGGGAAGGCTAGAGCTGCGCATGGTGTCGACCGAGTTCACAGCTCGAGACTACTACACCAACATCAAGAAGGCGCTAACGGCTGGGATGTTTATGCAGGTAGGGCGGGCTACTGCTTGAGAACTTGGCAATTGCAAGAAATTCGGGGTTCGATTCTACTTGTATTGTTTTGGAACCCGGAAGAATGTAGTCACTGTAAACTATTCGGCAACAGCTGCTGCTAGCCCAAGCAAGGAATAAGGAGTTTGTTGTATAGACTAGTGTTTGCCTGAGGTCAAAGACACACACGCCGCTCTTGCCGGGGGGGGTTCCGTTTTTTTGGGGTCTCCATTTCCATTGCGGGATGTGTCTTGTTGTTGTGATGTTTTTCTGGTGGAAGTATGTATATATTTTGCCAAGTTTCTGTTGATTTTTGAGTTTTACCAGATATTTGTGGTTTGGCCTTTTCCTTTCTAAAAGGCTTGGAATGTGACGTTGATTCTCTTCGCCAACCTTGCTCTCCTTTCTACCCCTCGAAAACAATAGGTGGCGCACTTGGAGAGATCGGGACACTACCTGACTGTGAAGGACAACCAGGTCGTGTCCATCCACCCTTCTTCTGTGCTGGACAACAAGCCGGTGTGGTGCATGTTCGAGGAGTTCGTGCTCACGTCAAAGAACTACATTCGCACGGTCACGGGGGTCCAGGTGCGTTACTGCTGCTGTTCTTGTTGGTTGTCGTTGCTGTCGCCGCATGCACGTGCTGGTAGATGTTCTGGCCAATCATCGTGCACGGCGTTGTACTAGACACACACGACACTCTTATTTTGCCTTACTCTCGGCTCCTTGTGCGATGAGTAGGGAAACCAACAAAGAAAAAAAAAAAAATGGTGATGGTGCTCGGATGCTAGAAGGTACGGTTTTGGTTGTCAAGAAACAACAAGGGTGGGCAACGCTCAAGTTCTACCAGCTTTGTGCAAATCGACCCCCCACGTTCTCAACTGTCTACAGTACCATTTCTTGTCGCAGTTGCGCGTTCCGTTCCTAGTTCAGGGCTCACGGGTCCAAGACCCCAAACACCCGTGTCCCTGTCACGATGAGTTCTCTCGAATGAAATTCACATCACCTATCAAGGCAACCCCTCGCGGCATTTTTCCGTTTCGCGTCCGTCACCCCGCCATCGTCTCCTTCCTTATCCCTGCACACACGCCCGCCCGCCCGCCCCGCGCCCACTGCCAGGCGGATTGGCTCGTAGAAATCGCGCCGCACTATTTCGACCTCGAGAATTTCCCGGAGTGTGAGGCCAAGCACGACCTAGAGGCCGTCTACCGGCGGAAGGATAAGAGCCAGCAGCGGCCCAAGTAGGTTGCTGCTGTTAAGGCGGAGGAAAAGGATTTGGAACCTGGGTTGTTGCCAAAAAGAGTCCGGCAATTATTCACTTTTGGCTTGTTTTTGTGCGCTCTTTGAGGGAGGGCGTAAGGAAGTGTTTTTGCGGAGGGTAAGCTACTGGTGCTGCTGGTGCTGCTTGTGCTTCCACTGCTGGCGATCGCCATTCACTGTAGGCGACTGCCAAATAAACGGGCGGTTCGAACTTGTGTCTCAAGGCTTGGCTTGAGATGACTTGATGTCTCGTCCTTGCCTTGCATGGGATGAGGCCGTGTGCCGGCGGGAGAGGAAACAGGATGATGGGAATTACCGAACGTGTTGGTGAAACCTCTCTTTGTGGCGGCCACTCATAACACCCCAGATCACGGACGTGCGGGGTGTTTCAATGTCGTTGGTAGAAGGGCGCGGAAGGAACAGAACCCATGGACAGAAGCCGCTGACGCGGGAAGATACTCCGTCTCCGGGAGTTTGGGCGAGTTGCCCGAGGGTTGGGTTCGAAAGCGGGAATAGGGCTGGTGCAGCACAGCGCAACAAAACAGCGGGATAGTTTTAGTGGGTGCATTTGGGGGCTGAGGGACCTTGCGAGGCTACGAACAACACGGTGTCACCTGGGGAGTACCTGGCTGCCACGTAGTCTGCTTCACCGATGCATACGTAGTATCTGTTCCCAAAGCGCTCGCTGCGACATCTGTTGTCTTGCATCGAGACATGCCCACCGCCCGTTCGTTTTTCTGGCATACTCCGTACGTGCGGGTAGCCACTGTGAACCGTGACTTTTGGAGTGAATGAAGCCTTTTATGTGTCCTCATAGTCGTTGATGAGCCATGCGCGCGGGCGTGAATTCACGACCATGGCGGTCGAAAGGAATATCATGTGTGCCGCCTGTGAAATTCTGTGCCTCACTATTATTTTTGGCTGTTTCAACGCATTCGTAACTGCTGCAGCCTTTTATTGGCAAGATCGAAGCCTTTCTGTGTTACGGCCCGGGCTCGTAAGCTGTGGTGAGCCATGCACAAGCTGGCATGCGAATTTTCACCAGCGCATCTAGTCCTTCTTCCTACTGTACTTCTGCTGCTGCAATTGTTCGAAACACCTGAGGAAAATAACTGAGACTCGATTTGAACCCTCTGCCGAGCTTGGGGCAGCGGCCGTTTTTCCGCTACTCTCTGTGTTTTTCCCAGGGGTTGGGGAGACATGCTGTAAGGAAGACAAAGGCGACTAAATGCAAGGCTTCGCAACACGCAGCGCTCTGGTCATCAACGTCGAACTTGTCCTCTCGGCAGACCGGAGGCCATCCAAAGGAAGGACAGTCCCGACTTTTCACACCGCGCATGAACGAACTCGCTTTTCACTCTTACGATCCCTCCGCGACGATGCGCCCACGAATGTAGTCAGGCCTCGGCTGCGGTATCGTTCTCACACACCCCAACTCAGCTCTCTACAGTAAAACCAAACACAAGAAAACACTGCAATATCAGCCACACGCGATCATTTCACTTCATCTGCAGTACATAAAACGACTCAAGTAAAATGTCACCTCACTCGGAAAATCGACACGAACAACAAAACAGCTCGCTTTACCTGCTGTACGGACAATTCACTTATCGGGACTCTTCGAACAAGCTGTGCTGCGACAGCGCTTTACGCCCCTCATCGCTACAATGCCGGCAGAGGGAATCCTCCATTCGCTGAGCTACACCAAGACGAACCGGTTTATAATGTCAACGCAACAATGGCAACGAGCGGTAACCTTGAGGCGATAACCACTTTGTAGTATCTGTGGTACACTCATTAATTGCTCACTGCGCTATATTTCGCGGACCCGGCCTGACTTCATGTACAAGAGCGCCCTTTGTTGGGGGGTTTAAGCTGTAGGAGCTATTCGTCAACAAAGCAGGAATCTGGCCCCTAGTTCTTCCTGAAACTGTTCATCCCCGGTCGTAGCACGGTAGTAGCCACCTCGCTCACTTGCCGCTTTGTCATCTGCCGGGTTTTTTCAACCCCCCTCGTAGCACTGCTCGTTTCCCGGCAGCAACACGCAGTGAGGCAGTAACCCAAAGGGTCGAACTTTCTGCAGTAGTAGCACTCCGTCATACATAGGTAGGACCCCAGGAGGCAGTTGGCCAAACCTCCACACGCGTGCCCCACCTTCCGGCAGCACACACAGCAACCTGCATCTGGGGAAGGGTTGTAGGGGCAGCAATGGAGAGGGGGCGTGCACAGCAGTGCATGTGAATATGTATGAAAAGGATCTAAAGTCTACGGCTGCAGTTTGGGGTACTTGCCGATCACGAATGAATGTCGTGGAACAAGCCATGCAGGGTACCTCAGTATTGTCTGCACCAGAGTAGCGAAGGACTTCATGTCAATGCTGTCATACTCCGTACCATAGACCACTGCTGTATGTAGTAAGAGGCAACAAGAACCCCCAGTCATCTACACTATAGTATTTTTTGGTGAAATATTTCATGCAAGTCCATGGAAGTCCATGGACGTCCATGGACTTCCATGAAACCAGTCCATTGACTTCCATGGACTTCCATGAAATATTTCATTGACTTCCATGGACTTCCATGGACTTCCATGAAATGTTTCATGGAAGTCCATGGAAGTCCATGGAAAAAATGAAAAGTTTCATGGAAGTCCATGGAAGTCCATGACACCATGTCCATGGAAGTCCATGGAAGTCCATGAAATATTTCACCATGGAAGTCTATGAAACATTTCATGGACGTTCAAGAAATATTCCAGTGACGCCAACTTGGTTGATAAATGCCGACAATGAGCCTTGGCTGTGTTCGACATTGGTCTCCATGAAATGCGTGCATGGGCTTCATTGGACTTCCAAGAAACTTTTCATGGAACTCCTTTCACTTCCATGAAAAGTTTCATGGAACTCCTTGGACTTTCATGGAAGTCCAAGGGGTTCCATGAAACTTTTGATGGACGTCCATGGAGCTCCATGGAACTTTTCATGGAAGTCCATGGACGTCCATGGAACTCTTAGTGAAATATTTCATGGAAGTCCAAGGAGTTCCATGAAATGCCATGAAATGTTTCATGAACGTCCGAGGAGTTTCATGAAAATTTCCATGGAGCTCCATGGACTTCCATGAAAATTTTCATGGAATTCCATGAAAAATATTTAAAAAAATAAAAAAATAACTACCATTATAATAATTGAGATGAATCACACGGCGGGCTCAAGGTGCATCTGCTCCAAGCCGAAAGAAAAGTTAGTGGTGGACACCATCCTCCGCCCATCAGCAGAGCCGCGGGAGAAGCCAAACGGTCGGGCACAACAACCTCGCCGACGGCCTCCACCGCCAGCTCGTCGCGTTCAGCAATGAATGGGTGTCCCATCACAGCCAGACCCGATCTGGCGAACCGTCGGATAATGGAGGGGTGGAGGAAGGCGAAGGGGAAAAACGCTTCCAACCGGTACCTAGCCATTGCCGAGTGAGGTAGGTGAGGTAGGTGCGTTTCGAAGCCGTAGTGTCGAGAACACAAATTAAAGGCAATCAGTTAGTTAGGTAGGCCTACTTCTGTACTCTACATAATAATCGAAAATCGGGGTAATTTTGTTCAATTTTGGGGGGGGCGGGGACACATCCCCATGTATCCTCGGTTTTTCCGCCGACGCGTCGACGCTTCGGCGTCCCGCCCTCGCATGGTTTGCATTATCGCTGGCGCTGAGTAGCTGTGGAGATCGCAGAGAGATGGCAGACACGCCATACAATACAGGGTCGTCTTCGCAATGTTCTCTTGCATACCCCCACGAGAATCGAGGAGCAGCCGCTCGCCCGCCAGTCGACCGTGTAGCCTATCGGTCAAGTCAAACGTAAGAAGACGAACGCTACGAGTAGATTTGCGAGACTGTGTTCCCTTTCGTGCAGTGCTAGAAGCAGCAAGGGCCAGATTGGGCGTTCATGAAACATTTCATGGATGTCCATGGGCTTTCATTAAACTTTTCATGAACGTTCATGGATGTTCATGAAATGTTTCATGGACGTCCATGGGCTTTCATGAAACATTTCATGAACGTCCATGGAATGTTTCATGGACGTCCATGGTCTTTCATGAAATATTTCATGACATTCCATGGACTCATGACATTCTTTTTCATGAACGTTCATGGGCGTTCATGAAACATGTCATGAACGTTCATGACATGCCGTGAAAAGTTTCATGGAATTCCATGGACTTCCATGAAACTTTTCATGAAAAAGTACGAAAATGTACAAGCCCCACAAGAACACGCAAGGGAACGCAGCGAAATTTCATGGAATTCCAGTTGAGACAAGAACACCAATTACTGGAAAGTGCCAATGCGTTCTCCTTACCTCCGGCCTCGGCGCCTTCTACGGGAGGAACACCACCGGGAACCTATGTAGTGTTGGGCGCAGGGTGTGAGATGAGACGACGAACACAAGAGCGATCGCGGTGGAGAGGATCTTAAACGTCGAACTTTCCGCTGTTCGTTGTATGTACATACATCTTCTTTTTTTGCCTGTGCGCCCGCGCCACGGAGGAAGTGTCAAATACGGTACAGACACTCCACCGTTTACACAGGTTGAACGGCGGTACACCTCACACGCAGGGGGAGACGTGTTGTCATGCAAGGAGTCAAGCACCGCTCCTGAGAAAATACCGTAATCAGGTCTTGTTCAACAATCGCATTTAGGCCATTAGTCTACTGTAGAATCCAGCCTACTTGCCACCGCGAAGGTCTACACGGAGACCCAGCAACAATGGAGAACCATCCACAACAGATTGTTCGACAGTTTGAAGACAGACTAAATCTGGCGAGGCCCTGCCTGCCGTCCTGCAACAAGATTGTCATCACGAAGACGATAATATACTCGTGCGCACTGGGGCCTCCATTCTCTTAGGCATCTACTCTAGATACCACGAGGAACGTATTTCATGGGAGACAACCAACTACCTGACAAGACTGCCAAAGTCCGCTACGGCAGGAGCGCACCGTCTGTGGCGGGATCTCCTCGCACCCAGGCTGGTACAGAATGACCGTTGCACTGACGTGTGCCATCTCTCGTATCTTTTCGATCTTCCCCGAATCTTCAATAATCACCTGAACGTATGCATATGTATGCAAATGGGCGTGGACCAGTTTCAATAGGGCATGGTTACGTGATATATTCGAACGCGAGAAGGCGGCGGCGGTTCGAGTGGAACCACCAGAAAGCATAAGTAGCCACGTCGTAATAATAGTCTTAAAATGAGAAGACCGCCAGGCAGTCTACCTCTTCATCCATTGAGAGCCCAATCGCAGATGGATGAGACAATCGTTCTGTGTGCAAATGTGATGGACATCGCCGTCTCCAACGGGTTGACGGGTCTGACACTTTATATTGTATGGCGTGACAAACACGACGATGGGATGATGAAGCATGTCTAGACTTCCATCAGGCGCATCGCGGTAGCAGTTGGTCGCATACAACGTGACGGGCGGGGGGGGGTGCAGGTTTTCCTCGTGTCGCAACCAGCCCTGCGCTCTGTTGGAGCACTACCGATGCAGCAACTTGGTGGAGCATGAGAAATCATGCAATCCTCTGTAGCCCCCGGACAATAGCATAGCACACACATGCCCTACGGCGTGTTGGCCACGCACGTAGAATCCTATTGGATCAGCAAGAAGGGTTACATAACCAGGTGTGCCCACGCACTGCAACCCGCAACAGAACGAATAACAGGGGAGCAACGACGGACGGCCGTCTACAGAAATATCTTTCACATGCTATCTGTCGCAATATAAATCTTCGAACCTATCTGCAGCAAACGCCAACCGTCTAACCTGGACTCGCGTTCGCCGAACCACGCCGATGAAACGAGATGCGCTATAGGTACTGTAGGTTAACTTGGGCAGATGGGTGCTGCTGATCTTGGGATGCTGTGAGTGTGGGAGAGAGGGGAAGGTATGCGTCGAACGAGTGCGCGGGGGGCTGTTGGGGGCTGTTGGGTAATGCGTGATCGGCGACGTTTGTACACCGTGAACACTTTCCAAGAAAATGTCTCCGCCAGACAGCAGGTTGCTTGTTCGGGACGTTATGCCGCCTTCGGGCCGTTACGTGATGACCTCGCGGGTGTCCCATGTGTCCATTTTAGGGCTGAAGCCCAGAACCTAGTGGGTTAGGGTTTGCGCTTACGAAGAGGGTTTGTGTGTTTGGGAACTGCGGCCCTTGCTACATAGGCCATGAGCAACACGGTACCACCTGGGGAATACTGGCAACCACGGATGGATCTGCTTCACTGATGCATGCGTGTTATGTATGCTCAAAGCGCTTTCTGCGACAGCTGTTGCCTTGCATCGAGACACACTCACCCCTCGCGAATGGCCCTCCTGTCCGATGGGCTTGACTCGTTATCCTGGCTTGTTCTGAGTGCGTGTACATGTACGTAGAACCATTCAAAAGTGTTCTTTGGCGAAGCCTGTCTGTGTTTCGGTCCGGGCCCCTACTCTTGGATGAGCCGTGCGCAAGGGTGTGAATTTGCGAGCATGGATGCCGAAAGGAACATCATATCTGCCGCCTGTGACTTTCTTCGTACCTCGACCTGTGCTTCTGGCTTGTTAAATGGAAATCTGCATGATGCAGTTGCGACCTGTTTTCTTGTGGCGCGAGCGAAGCCGGTTCGGACTCATAACCTTTGGTGAGAGGAGTGCGCAAGGGCATTCATTCCGAGCAGGGTGACCGAAAGGAGTATCATCATGTGCCTGATAGCCGGTGGAACTGGCGTTGCTGGCGCGACTCTGAAACAAGCGGGTTGCGCGTTTTTTCACAAGCTCAACGTGGTTGCTTTGCATTAATCCCACAGCAGCAATTGCTCCATTCACTACAGAAAAATATGTAAACACACGAATTTACCCCCCGACCGTGCCTTGGATCAGAGGTCGTCATTTCTGCTACTGAACAGCACAACGATTTCAACCGAGAGATTGAGGAAGCATGCGGGAAGAAAAGAGGAAATTGATGTGAGGCTCGTGAGCTTGGAAGCCATCTTGGGAGACCGGAGGCCACCCAAAGGAAAGAGAATAACTTCGTCATTTCACACCACGCGTGATGGAATTCACTTTTCACTCTTTCAGCCACTCCGGACGATACGTCAAAACCGACCAGCGTAACCCCATTGACCACTGCAACAGACACCGATACGACCACACCAAAGCCTTAGCGGCGACAACACCACTCGCCCAACCCTGCTCCATTTGGATTCCGTGCCGAAGGGGGTTGAGGAGGGTGGTAGTCATGTTTTGCACGCCCTAACGGTTAGACTATTTTGGGGGGAGTGATAACACGGACGAACACCGTTTTCGTTCCCCTTGAGACGCCAACGACTTTTCATACCAAACAGAGGACATCACTAATCATCACCCTCCCACACAACAAGACATTCATGTACTGTAGTCTTAAGTATTCAATTGAGCGTAGGATGATGGATGTGAAGCACCGCATCCTCAACAGTGCCCCTCGCATCCCCTACTGTTACTATTTCTATCAACTAAAACACCACATGCTTCTTTACTTGTTCTGCCTCTCCAATGCCCCTCACGAACAAGCCACAAAACAATATTCATTGAAGCCGATGATCCAAGTCGTATTGTACATGTAGAACGTATGACCCCAGGCAACGAGGAGCAGCTACATGTAGTACTACCGTGATTTGAAAACACCTTTTTGTTGCACGTACATATGCACTTCTAAACTTGCCCGGCGGTACGAGGCAAGCAAAACAGAACCACAACCCCGCCGCCGAAGAAAAGGATAGCAACCTTCTCATCAGTGCCAGCCTATCTCAACAACGAAATATACTGAAAATTCGCGCTGGTACCGGTGGAAGACCAAACACGCTACAGAAGTACCAACAAATAGCAACTTCGGTGAACGACCAAGCACACATGAGGCCGAAAGCATGACAAGCGTCTCAAACGCTCGTTACCGTAGCACCAGCTTTCCTTTGCTCTCAGTAGACCGGCATGCCGCCGGATAGGATAGACACGCCGGCGACGAAGTGGCTGGGCCCACAGCGGCGGTACTTGTTCTCCTTCTGCCCGCCCTCGTGCCAAAGCAGTTCTACCTCGCTCGCGAACGCCGCCTGAACCTGCAGCGGCCCTCCCCGAGCCTCGACGACCCCGTGCTCGAACGACCCGAGCCTCCCGTGACGCTCGTCCTCCCTGCCGCCCGATACGTTGGTCTCGCCGGAGAAGGACATGGAGGGCCTGCTGCGCTCCGAGGCGGACTCGAAGAGAACGGTACCCGGGTCGCGCAGGCGCGGGAGCGGCACGTCGCGAGGCTTCCCACCGACCCAGCCACGGACGCCCGCGGTGAAACGGCCCCGGGAGCCGAGGCGCTCTTTAGGGCGGATGGCGTTGGTACGGGCCTCGGCGGAGAGGTCCGGCTTGTGCACGGCGGACACGAAGAGCACCTTGCCGTGATCAACCTCGGCCTCGAGCGGTACGTCGCGAGGCTTGCCACCGACCCAGCGACGTCCTCCCGGCGTGAAGCGGCCTCGGGTTCCGAGGCGCTCCGTGGGGCGGACGGCGTTGGTGCGGGCCTCGGCGGAGAGGTCCGGCTTGTGTACGGCGGACACGAAGAGCACCTTGCCGTGATCGACCTCGGCCTCACGCGGTACGTCGCGAGTATGGCCACCGGACATGATGCGCACGCCGCGGGTGAAGGACCCCCTAGTACCAAAGCGCTCGTCAGGGCGACCGCCAGCGACGTTGAAGGTGGGCAGGCCGGAGAGGTCGGACTTGCACACGGAAGTCATGGCGTTGTTGTTGTTGATCGTTCTGGTTGGGGCGAAGCCTGACTTGTAGCGAAGCAGCGGCGGAGACATCGCGGGCGGGGGAAGGACAGAAAAATTGTGAGATGCCCGCGCGCATTGATCGTTTGGGGATGATGAGCTTTGTGCGATGTGACGTCGAGAATCGCTTACCCCTGTTCGTTCCCCCTGAAAAAACTTCACGAAAAAATCAGTTGTGATGACGGAACGCCGAAAAGCCATACGGCAGGGTAAGCAAGCGCCCTACAGTAGAACATATGCATAGAAAAGGGCCGTGCAAACACCATTGGCAGTCACTTGAATACAATGAATGCGCAAGGGGGCTGGAGGGGGGGAACAATACAAAGCGGGTGCAACACTCGTACGCAGATTGACTTCTTCTCTAGGTACATAGTGCGGAGCTGAACATGGTTTGCATTTGGTTGGGGATCTATCTATGTAGACGGCCCGCTCGTTGAGGGAAAACACACGAGAAGCGATGGCGGGCCAAAGAAAAATGAACAAATATCACCACATGACCAGGAACGAACGTACAACAAGCGTCAACGGGTCACAGAAAACAACTTTGCTACTTGGCTAGACTACACGACACGACTTGAGGAATAAAAAGCTCGCGCATCGAACCTAGCGATACATGTACAATGCACCGCTGCCGCGTCGTGCCCTTTTGTCTTCTGTTCATGTAGTAGCGGTGTGGTGGGCCAGCATGAGTCAGAACATTGCGCGCGTACATCTGTTTCTCTCCTCCCGAGACTCTTGATAAACAAGAGCCGGATTGAAGTTGAAATATTCAACGAGAGAGATCACGTGATCCACGTTTCTTTGGAGTCGACGAGTTTCGTACCCTGTGTGATGCGGAACTTGTCGGCGGTGTGGTCTGATTATTCTAAACTCCGTATCATCGATCTTATGCACAGAACGCAGTCGAACACTGAATCGGGCGGCGGGTGTTCTGTGGGAGATAGAGCACGACACCTCGTCTGTTTCTCCTTGACAACATTGCGTGAAACCAGATGACGCGTACCCACAGGATTTTGTTTTCGCTGCGGGGGAGTCGAGCAACCTCGTCGAATGTTACCCCCGATCAGTATATCTTAGCTCACTTGAAACAATCGGAGAGGGCAGGCCGTGCTACCTACGTGGCGATATTGATCGGCATTGTGTACCGTGATGTCTCCCCCTGGTTCGCCCAATCTCCCACACTACTGAAAGTTTTGATAAACCGCCCATGGGCCTCCCATGGGCACTTCATGGACTGCCCATGAGCTGTGAACTGCCCACGAACTGCCCACGGTAGGAACTTCAACCTAGAACTTCGCCAAACGGCATATCATTGCAAGTTCGCATTGAGTTACAATAGCCCGGGCCATGGTTACACAAGATGTTCAATCGCGAGAAGACGGCAGCGGTGTGAGTGGAGCCATCAAAGACAATCATGTTCACTACATAGAGTAATTCAAGTAGATTTCAAATGAGAAGACCGCTACGCTTGTGTCTCTTCTAATCGCGGAACTAGACCATCCGACTTAGTCAGCGCTGACTAGTCGGATGGTCTAGTTCCGCGATTAAAAGATATGCGCTGAGCTCGTTAGCACCCGGCCGGATCACATGGGCTTGAGGCTGTTAGAAGCTTAATCACTGGAATTGAGCGTAGAGATCTCCGGGGACGGACAACTCGCCAGACGTCGCTGTTTGGTAAACAAATGGTGATTCTTGTGTATGTGGACCGATTGGGATTCGAACCCGTGCGTGGAACCTTGTGTAAGAACGCTTTGACCATTAGACCACTTAGTCAGCGCTGACTAGCCGAATGGTCTAGTTCCGCGATTAAAGGATTCCCGCACGAAGTTCGAATACCGGCCGGATCACTTTTCGTTGCGTAGAATTACCATTGACAGAACAGCAGCGTTTGGCGAGGGGTTCTTCCCCGGAGATCTCTACGCTCAATCCCAGTGATTAAGCTTCTAATAGCCTCAAGCCCATGTGATCCGGCCGGGTGCTAACGAGCTCAGCGCATATCTTTTAATCGCGGAACTAGACCATCCGACTAGTCAGCGCTGACTAGTCGGATGGTCTAGTTCCGCGATTATCTTCACCTTCACCATCCACTGAGAGCCGAACCGCAGATGGATGAGACAATCATTCTGTGCAGATGTGATATGTAGACATCTAGGTTTCCGACATTTTGTGGCGGTTTTTTCTTTTGGCGATAATGAAACACGACGGCGACGGAATGCGACGGAATGAAAAAGCATGCTAGATTGTACATAGACTCTATGTTACCAGGTGAATGGCTGCATGCAGTAGCTGGTCGCAAGGCCAGGCATGGGGGGGGGGGTGCAGGTTCTCCTCGTTTCGCAACCAACTCTCTCAATGTTGAGCACTTTGATGCATGCACTGGTGGTGATGGTGGTGCACGTCGAACGACCGATATCCTCCACTCGACTTGTCTATCCTGGTTTGTCCCCGGACGACAGCAAGGCAAACATGCTCTATGGCGTGTTGGCGACGGAGGTGGGAACGTGTTGGCTAAGCAAGAAGGCTTCAGCAGCAGGTGTGCCAACGCACTCCCCTCAAACAGAACGCATAACAGGGGAGCAATGACGAACGACCGTAGTCTAGTATCTACCGCAGTGTAGGGGTCCGTGTAATATCTTTCTCATGCATATCTTCGAAGCTGCTACTGTATGCATATGTGCAGCAGACGCAACCATTCTCACTTTGACTTGCGTTCTCCGGATCACGCCAACGAAACGAGATGCGCGATGGGCGATGGAAGTACAGATGGGGGTGGTGCTGATCTTGGGATGATGTGAGAGTGGGAGAGAGGGGAAGTTGTGCGGAGGGCGGGGGCGCGGGGAGCTTGTTGGGTATTGCGTGATCGGGCGACGATTGATTGTACACCGCCAACATTTTCCAGGAAAATTTCTCCACCAGACAACCAGGCGATGCTTGTTCGGGACGTTGTGCCACCTTCGGGTCGTTGAGTGATTGCCTCGCGGGTGATCATTTCTGTACAAAGAAACGTATCAGCGGGTAAAATAACCAAGCTTTCTTATCATTCTGGGACTATTGCTGCAAGGATAGAGGTTACGCTAAAAATATTTTACGGTGGGGTTGCCGTATGCGAGTGGGTCCAGGTTTAGGACTAATGCATTCTGCTGTGTCGTGTCGGTCTAGACTATGTCTCATATGTATGTGAAGACGGAAAGACCCTCCAGGAAGACTCGCTCTTGTTAGCCAGAAGCGCCCATTTCAGCGAAAAACGGTCTCTTGTGGCCGATCAGCACCTACCCGCCGAACTTTGGTAGCTTATACGCTGTCCGTCACTTTGTAAGCCATCAACAAAAAAAGCGCCCCCGTGTATCCATCGTGAAAACGATTTTTGGCGTTGTTGGTGACACCTGTTTGTGTTCCGGTCCGGACCCGTACTCATTGACGACCCATGCGCAAAGGTGTGAATTTTCGAGCATGGGTGCCGAAAGGAACATCATATGTGCTGCCTGTGATATGCTTTGTCCTCAACTTGTGTTTCTGGCTTGTGATGGAAGTGTGCGTGTTACCGTTGCGCCTGTTTTCTTGTGGCGTAAATGAAGCCGCACTCGTATCCATTGGTGAGCAATGCGCAAAGGTGTTCATAATTTTCGAGCAGGGCGGCCGAACGGAATATCATCATGTGCCTGGTAGTCTGTCGAACAGGTGTTGCTGGCGTGACTCCGGCAACAAGCCGGCGTGCGTCTTTCAAGCAGCCCAATTCAGTATTTTTCGTTATAATTTCACAAGATATATGTTATTTAAAATAACGAATTTACCCGTTGCCTCGCGCTTGGGCCAGAGGTCGATATTTATTTCCGCTTGTGACCAGCACATTGATTAGAACCTTGAGATCGAGCAAACATGCTGGAAGACAAGAGCGAATTAATGCCTGCTTGGAAGACTCGGACTGCAACGTGCAGCGTTCTTTGCACAAATAAATATCGAACTTGTCTTCTTGCAGACTGGACGCCATCCAAAGGAAAGAGAACAATCTCGGCTTTTCACACCAAGCATGAACGAATTCACTGTTAGTTCTTACCACCGCTCGTAACCATACGTCCAAATGTTCACCATCGAGTGACAGCAGGCTTCAGTATTGATACCCTCCAACAAGACATTAATATTCGCATAAACGAAGGCTGATTTTATAAAATTTCCAGCAACAGCTACAGTACACACGATCACTTCACTTTTCACCATTTGCTCGCTTCACCTCACACCATCTACGAGGCGAACGACAGGACAAAACAGCGAACGACAGGACAAAAAAACAACCGATCATTCCATCGACACTAACAAAACAGCTCTCCCGACAATACTCAAATCACTTCACTCGTCTCTTCGAACGAGTCGCGCAGCGACAGCGGTTATCTCCTCCATCTCAGGTTACAACGCCGGCAGAGGTACACCCAATTTTCGATCTACACCACCACGCAACGGTTCTTAATGTCAAGACAGCATGACAACACGGGCAAACGCAGACGACAGGACAACGAAAAAAGCAACACACCATTCCATCGACAAAAACAAATCAATTCTCCCTACACATCAATCACTTCACTCGGCTCTTCGAACGAGCCGTTCTACGACAGCGCTTAGCCCTTTCATCTCAAGCTATGCATACAAAACTGAAAGAGGGCACACCCGATTTTTCAAGCTACACCACGACGCAACGGATCTTAATGTCAACCCATCATGACACCATCGGGTAACTTTGATACGCAGGATTCTGAAAGTACCAGTGGTTCACTCATGAATGACTCACTGCACTGTTTTCGAGGATCGGCCTAGCTGCATGTACAAGAGCCTTCTGTTGGGGGTTGAAGCTGTAGGGGCTATCAGCCAACATAAGCAGGAATCGGGTCCCTAGCATTTGCCGAATACTGTTCACTCCCGGTCGTAGCACGGTAGTATTCTTTTGGCTCAGTTGCCACTTTGGCTGCCGTTTT